CCATAAAAAAAAATCCAAAGAACATTGCTAAAAAGATGCACTCTTTTGCTATATATAGAATCTTCACAGCAAAGACAATTTAACATGAAGTTGCAAAGTATATATACATTTTGTAACATCCCAAAAAATTTTAAGACTTGGATTTATTTTAAAAAAATAAAATAAAATATCTATAATTAAATTAAAATTTAGAATAATTTGATAGAGGTTCAGAGTTTGAATTTTTTTTAGCAAAAGTTTGATTTATTTGATTTTTAATAATGAAAAAAATTATCAAAGTTGACCCGGGGTTTTGTGTTATAATAAAAAATGTTGGGCCCTTTATTATAATTTTCCCTAAAGTCTAATATCAGCGATTTGGAAGGGAAAACAGACGCGTAGAAACTGAAAAGAAGGAAGGAAAGAAAGAAAACGAACGTGAGAGAGAGAGAGAGAGAGGAAGAAGAAAGGAGAAAGAAAGGGAGTTAGGCTAGGATCTAGGAGGCTCTGCGACCATTGTGAGCTCGGCTACGTGATAGGTAAACTCCCTACTTCAATCATCTTCCCTCCCTCTTTGTTTTTCTCAATTTTGAAAAGGAAATTTCTGAAATTTGATTCAAAATGCTTTATTTTTATAAGCTTTAGTTTCCTTGGGTTCTAGGGAGGATGTTTTGAGTTTCTATATGGTGTTCTAAATTTTGAGTTGATAATTGGATGAAAAGAGGTGTTTTGGACACAAATCAAACCCCAAGAGGTTGGGTTTTGCTCTTCAATGATTTAAGTCTATTGATTTAGTTATAATTTTACCATTTGAGTCTAATAAGATTTAAATTAAGGTTTGGTTTTCACTATAAGGGTCAATGGGTGAAAGTTGGTGACACTAGGTGAATGTTTTTAATTGATTAAAAATTATATAAATTGAAAATTAGCCTAATGATGGCTAATAAATGATTTTGGTAGTTAAGTGATACTATATGAATGGTTGATTTAATATATGGACCATTATGATGGATTATGACTCATTAACCTAAGTTGTGGGTATAAGTTATAGTCTTTATTAATGCTATTTGTCATGATAAGTGATGTGGATCACTTATATATTGTAGGGATTGTTGGTGGAATTTGTTCGGAAGTTAAGGAACAAGCTGAGTCCTATTTTATACAAGAGAAACCCTTTTGGTACTAAAGGGTTGAGGTAACAGGGAAATTTATATTTCTTTTTACTTTATTTTAGTTATTTTTGAATAAATATTACTAGTTATCATGCATTATATGTTTTAAAAGATTAAATGTGCTTTATAAGGGGTTATAGGATACTACTTTGATTATAGTGCAAATATGTTTTTTAATTGTTTAACAACAATGTTTTTATGAAAACAAGATTTGTTACATGTATTGTAAGCATAAAGAATAGAAGTTGCACTTAAGGAAGTGTAACTAAGTAAGGTATCTTAGATAGGCTAAGGAACCGTTTAAGGGAGTTTTATAAATGTTACACTATCTTAGAATATGAAGTGGTCAATACTTGAGAAAGGTAGACACGAATAAAAATGTAACTAAGTAAGGTATCTTAGATAGGCTAAGGAGAACCGTTTAAGGGAGTTTTATAAATGTTACACTATCTTAGAATATTGAAGTGGTCAATACTTGAGAAAGGTAGACACGAATAAAAAGCATGATCTTGGTAGGAGTTCACCAATAAGAAGGTGTGGACTTTTGATATTATGTGGCACACTGCCAGTATTCAGTGTTGCTTTACGTATTGTGGGCTCAGTGCACTAAAGTGATTAGTGTATTGAGTGTTCGACACCTCTCAGTGGGAGAGGGAGTCTGACATATGAAGTGTGAGGTTGAATGCCTAAGCCAAGGTAGCCCTCACATGGAGAGTAAGTCGGGCTGACTCTGGGAGGGAGTTAGTTTTGACTGCTCAGGATTCACGTCGAAAGGGCATAGGCGGTTCGGTGGATTAAATCATGCCTAAATTATGTTTTGTGCCTGTGGAGGTACAAGTAGGTATAAGGTTTACCTGTGAGTTAAAGAGTAACCAGGGAGCATTCGTTGGATTGTAGGCTTGTGTATGAATTTTTATCTATTTGTAGACTTATGATTAGGAACTTGACTATGGTGTGTGGTTTTGATAGATTTTTTAGTAGACTAAGTTTTCACTATAAGAAAATATTTATTTTGGTATATATGTGATTTCACAAGCAAATGCAAAATGATTGCATTGCAAATGGTGTGTTATGGGCAAACAAAAATATACCTTGGATAGAGAGAGTGGGTGTGTGGGCCCCACCGAGATCTCTGAGCCAAGTGAAAATATTTAGCATGTGTATTCATATGTGTATATGATATTTGGAATAGTTTTTGGCCACTTTTGTGTGATTTGTGCATTTTGAGGGTTTAGGTCCATTTTGGAAATGGTACCCGAGTGGTCAAATTTTGGTATAAAGGGTTTTCTACCATTTAAATATTCTATCACATGTTTTTAGTCCTATTTGACGTGTCCAAAGTGTTCTCACAAGTTTGTAACCATTAGGATGAGATTTGGACAATTTTGAAAATGGTTTTTACCAAAAACCTGCACTTTTACATACGGGTGTCCAAATCTTAATCCGACCGTTGGATTTGTCTAAAATTTGGGTCACACGTAAAAACTTTTATAAGCTTCATGTGGGCTTTGAAATCACATTGATCGGATGTCGGACGGAGAAATGGTGTAATCCGGAATTTGGTCCGGAGGAGCTATCATGACAGCAATAATTGATAATGTTACAACATACACGAAATTTAATCTGTCCGATAGATCTTTCTAAAATTTGGTATGCTAATAGTACTATTTAAAAGTGACATGTGGGATTTGGAATCGCTCCGATCGAAGGTCGGATGATGAAATGGTGTACCCAAAAGTTAGTCCAGAGATGCTGTCATTTAGCTGTCATGACAACAAAAATAATCAATATTTTAACATGTCTAATTTTTAATCTGATCGTTGAATCTTTTTGAAATTTAGTACACTTATAGTACCCTTTAAATGTGACGTGTAAGCTTTAAAATCACTTCGATCAGAGGTTGAATGACAGAACGGAACCTCCTAGAAGTTGGCCTAGGAGGGCTGTCATGACAGCAATTTAATGCTGTCATGACCGCATCTTTTATTCCACTTTCGTCTAGCTTGTTTTCGTGTGCTATAGGTAGAACCTATAATTTTTTTAGGTTTTAAATGATTTATTTCTTAAGTTAGTTAGAGGATCAACTCCTTAACCACACTTAGTTTATTTAAATTATGTAATTTTTGGATAACACTCGGGGTAAGTGTTACACATTTGCTTTTGCAGAATATGGCAGAATATTTAGACAGGTGCTGTATACATTATTAATTTCTTCGTTTGAAGGTCTCTACTCAAATGGGCAGCATAGCTGTTCGAAAAACCAGCTTTTGTTCATGAAATGAGAGAAGCTAGTGGTCAGGATTTTTAAAAACTCAGATTTGTGTTGATATATATATTGATGGTGAGATATCACATAACCGTTGAAGGACCCTCCAAATTCTTTAGGGAAAATTTTCTTAAAGACACTTCTGAGGTTTTGTTTGTTACTAACTCTTTTTTCTTTTCTTAAAACTTCTCTCTGATGAACCAAGCTGCTATAGCGGCTGAAATTGAATCAAATGCAGACATGCAATGCTACTCAAAGATTAGTTGGCTTGGAATAATGGAAAATCTTGTTAAAAAAATCATAGATAAAAATGACTCATGTTTTTAGCTTTACAATACATGTATTACATTACTTATAAATTATAAACAGTGTCATTTATCCTTTATACTTTGTACAATATTAGAGGACTCATAAATGTCTGAGTTGTTGAAAGCAGAATAAACATTATACTGCATAAATAATGCTTTTAAAGACTGGCAATTCAATTAAAGTGAACCAAGTTCCGCCTAAAGCATAAAGATGTGATCTGCTTTAAGACGTGAGTTTTGAAAGCATGATCAACATAAACCGTCCAATGCATGTTGAGTAAATCAACAGTATCCCAAATCCTAACTGAATAGATTTTTTTTTGGTTTTTTTCTAGATAAACCATTACAAGACATAAAAGAGCCAAGGAAATCAAGAGTAAGATTTCCCAGGCCAAACCAAAAGAACACAAGGACAGGAAACAAATAGAAAATGAAAATCAGGACACTAGCAGAAAGTAAAAAGGAAGAGCAGAAGTTTATTTGCTTCATAAGAATTTGTTGGATCAATAATATTCTTCTGCTCAATGTCAAAAATGTGTGCTGAGAGTGATGAGATACGATGCATGTTATGGGAATAATATGTACTTATATATATATATATATATATATGGCACGGCCATTCTCAGAGATTGCTAAAAATTTAAAACACCTCTGTTTATTATTTTTAATTGCTTGTGGAATATCCTATTTTCATAGTGTAAAAATTAATTTTTATTATGATTGGATAAAAATTTATTACTCAATTAAACCGTACAGTTCAAAAATTTTCCACAATTTTTTATTTCTGATGAAAAGGACTTAAATCATTCAAATTCATTAGATAACTGTGATTAATTGGAGAGAATGACTCCATTTAAGTTCAGGTCCACAAAATTAATTTAATTTGGGTCCATGATGTCAGGCCATTGTTTTGATTTTGCCACATTTTTTTTGAACCCAGCTTCTTTTCCATTTTTTCTCTCTCTACTTCCTTTCCACTTCCCATCTCAACCTTTAGATTCATTTTTGAACGGTTGAGATTTGATGTTTCATAAATTATTATTAAAATGTAAAATTTTATAAAAAATAAATATAATAATAATTTATGAAACATCAAATCTCACCGTTCATAAATAAATCTGAAAGTTAAGATGAGAAGTGGAAAGGAAGTAAAGAGAGAAAAAATGAAAAGAAGCCAAGTCCATTTTTCTCACAAGAGCACAAGCTAGCTGTAAAGCCCGGCCCAACTCTAAAACCTTTGATTTCGCCCCAAAAAACACAAAAACAAAGAAACGAGCCGCAAACAAACACATACTTTCCCTCTGTCCCTGTTTTTTCTTTCTTCCCACGACACCAGACAGCTTCAAGTATTGAAAGGTTCGTCCACTCCGTCTTCCACATTTGGCTATTCTCTTTAGCTTCCCTCCTCTCGATTCCAACTTCACTCAGTTCTAAACCGGCAGGGCACAAATCACGCCATACCTAGATCTTTCACGGTGCAATTTCGGTTTTGGTGTTCTTATTGTTTTTTATTTCTGCAATTCCTTTTGCTTTTATTGATCAATTTTAGGAAGTAAACGCGTAACAAGAATATATTCTTAACATTGCATAAGAATTATTGTTTTTGGATATTGCGTATTTTTTATAATGAAATGCTTTTGTTGAAGCTCTAGCTCGGCAATTAGGGCTTGTCCGATCTTCTGGCAGAGAGGCCTGACAGGCATCCTTTATCACTTCGTCTGCAGGTCAACCTGAATACAAAACATGTCTAAGTCAGTGGTAGATCTTCCTCCCAAGGGTGGATTTAATTTTTTGACCTCTGCCGAAAGAAATGATATGCTTGAAAAGAAGGGTCTCAAACCCCAATCTTTTCTGAAGACTGGAACTACTATTGTTGGTTTAATTTTCCAGGTATCAATGCTTTCTTGTACCCGGGTTATTATTTATCTGGCCATTTTTGCTGTTATTTATTCCTACATTGGATATCTAGTAGTAAATAGTTTTCCATTGCTTCTATGTGTAATTGAATAGAGTCATGTGTTATATAGTTGTGTAAATTATATTACTGAAACCGCGACCTTCCATAATTCCATATCTCTCATTCAGAAACATCGTTAGGCTCTAGAACCTGGTCCTGATTTTGAGGGAAAGCAAAAGACATGTTTGAACTTGGAACCTAGAAGGGCTTACATCTGTGCATCTGCAAATTTAGAAATTGGTTATGGTAACTTTGAAATGCAACGTGCACTTTTCTGTATGCAGATTGAAATTGAGATTTTTGTTTTCCTTCTTTGTATTGGTACTAGGTGCCACTAGGAGTAAAGTGGCTATAATAAGTACGTGTATGTCACGATTCATGAATTTTAAATCTAACATTTTTTCATTGATGGACTACTTCATCACTAAATAACCCATAAAATAAAGAAGTGAATCATGCATCTTCCATGTTCTTAATGATCAATTGACTGCTAAATTTTGCTGCACTACCACTGTTCTAAATGAATTTTTATACAACTTTATTTTACAATTTTCTCTTCCTAATGTCTTATTTACAAAAAATGTTTCGATGTATTTTCCAAACATATAATACAGTAATATTTCACTCCCCCCCCTTTTGATTGAACAGTACTTCATCTTTTGTTAAATCATCAGGATGGTGTCATTCTTGGAGCAGATACAAGGGCCACTGAAGGGCCCATAGTTGCTGATAAAAACTGTGAGAAGATTCATTATATGGCACCAAACATATATTGCTGTGGAGCAGGTACTGCTGCTGACACTGAAGCAGTAACAGGTATCTGTTTGGACCCTTTATGTGTTGTTGTTTACTTCCTCTCTTGAGTAATTGTGGTTTTTACTTTTGATTTTCTCTCATATTTGCGGTCCCATGGCTTCTGTCATATGGCTGGTGGTAATGTTTTCTCATCTTTAATATTGCATAACCACCTAAGATGAAACGTGTTTGCTCACTGTAGACATGGTTAGCTCACAACTGCAACTGCATCGGTACCATACTGGTCGAGAATCAAGAGTTGTTACAGCACTAACCCTTCTGAAGAAACATCTTTTCAAGTTGAGTTTCAGGACATTCTTCTTCAAGTGATTTTATACTGTCAATCAGGCTATCAATCTGACTTTTTAACAAAAAAAAAAAAAAATTTGTCCAGTTACCAAGGTTATGTCCAGGCTGCTTTAGTCCTCGGTGGGGTGGATGTTACTGGACCTCATTTGCATACTGTGAGTCCATTGCTTAGAGCCTTTTACTTTTCAATGCATTTGATTTGATTTTCGTGTGACTTTTGATAATGTTTTGCTTTTTTCCCCAGATTTATCCGCATGGATCAACTGATCACTCCCCTTTGCAACAATGGGATCAGGTTCACTTGCTGCAATGTCTCTATTTGAGTCTAAATACAAGGAAGGCTTGACGGTATGCATATTATGGTTCAGAAGTCATGTTCTGTTCAATAGAGCTTTTTGTTATGACACCCTTTAAACCTGTTACGCTATCTTTGATGGTTCTGGCAAGTGGTGTATATAATTTAGCATGATTTTAAATGGTATTGGCATTACGTCCCAGAAAAGTGGAAAAAGTTATTGGAGATTTACATCTATGCTGTTATTATCAATTCTAGGTGCAGTCATTTTGCTGGCTTTTAATTTTGCATTGCCATTTTTATTTGGTGCAGAGGGATGAAGGGGTACAGCTAGTGGTTGAGGCAATATGTGCTGGTATATTTAATGACTTGGGAAGTGGAAGTAATGTTGACGTTTGCGTGATAACAAAGGTTAGATCTTTGATCCCAGATCCTACAAGTTATACTTCGAGATGGTTTTAAGTAATTTTCATTTCATTGTACATACTTCGAGATGGTTTTAAGTAATTTCATTTCATGTACACTTCTATTTGATACTGCACAGGGTCATAAAGAGTATCTCAGGAACCATCTCCTGCCAAATCCTCGTACATATGTGAACCCAAAAGGCTTCACCTTCCCTAAAAAGACCGGTTAGTGGCACATTTTACTCATTTATTGATAAATATACTTGAAGCTTCAATTAATAAATCAACGGTACTGTTCTGGGATGTGTTTCTTGGCTAGTCAGACTATCGGGGATTGGGCTGTGGACTTTAGGGGCAAGGTTTTGTGAAGTGCTGCTTGTGTTTTTACTCCATGCATAAGCAAGATAGATGTTATAGATTAGTGAAATCACTTGGATACGATAAAGTTGTTTTTATAGCTCGGGGTTGCCAATATTCAAAGATTGATTCTCAATTGTCTTCTGTGCATGCTTTTCTGTTAGCTTTGGTTTAATCCCATTTGGATTAAGGAAATATGCGGTCTCTAAAATACTTCTATCTTATTCTATCTGGTACAGAGGTCTTTTAACAAAGATTACTCCCTTGAAGGAGGCGGTGGAAGTGATTGAAGGAGGAGATGCTATGGAAGAGTAGCTTTCACTTACACAGGAACTTAACGTATCAGGCTGAAACTCGGAACGGTGGAATGTTGATGTAATTTGTATGCTTATGGAACCTTGAGCTGTTGCTTTTATCCCCTCAGATGATTTTTCATTAGTAGGGTTTAGTTGGGGCTATTTTTGCCAAAATTTCCATGATCTGGAAGGTGTCACTTTTTCCTAATAACATCGGCCACGAAATGCCTGACTGAACAAAATCATCAAGAAGCCAACTCGGCTGCTGCTGCATCATCACTTGGAATTGGAAAATGGGTTGAGCTTGCAGGCTAGCCTGTTTAACTTGTCAATTTTAATGGGTTGAATTGAAAAAATTAACTTATTTTATTTTTTAAATGCCCAATCCGTAAAATTGGCAAGTGAAAATGGGCTAGCTTGATGGCTAACCAGGCTGGCCTGTGGGCAAGCCTATTTTAATTAAAAAAATTAATTTATTTTTTAATTATGATATTTTTTTTAAATATATAATAATGATTATAGTTTTTAAATAGGTAATTTATGACTTTTAAATATGTTTTTGACATTTGAAAGATAATGTAAATTTTTTTATAATTGTAAATAAAATTATTATTATAGTTCGTAAATTAATGACTTATTAGTTTTTATAAAATATTATAAATATATATTATTTATTAATTTTATGAGATTAAATTAAAAAATTATATGTAATAATTTGTTGAAAAAAATATAAATTTATATTTAAATTTTTGTTTAAATAATAGTACATGTAGGTGAAAAAATAATTAATAGTAAAAATTGAATAATTTTTTAATGTTTTGGCTTTATTTTTTTATTTAATTCTCAATTCATAAAAGCAAATATAAATAATATTAAAATTACATTTAAATTTTTTGTGATACTGAAAATATTTTTAATTCTAATTTTTTTTTCTTTTATCAATTTCATATTCGTTTCTATTATTTAAGTTTACTTTTAGTGGAACATTTAAGGTGGAAAAAAAAAAGTTTGGATTCTAAATTTTTTTTTTTAAATACTGTGACTTTTCAAGAATGTACAATAGACCATTTAGATTTAAATAGGTGTTGAAAATAAATAAAGTTTATTGTGTGGGATTTGTCTAATTGAATTTAGATAGGGGTGATTCAATTTTTATGTGTCTATGTGTTGTTTATTATAAATTTAAATTATTTTAAAAAAAATTAAAAAAATAATTTTGCATTTTGTAGGCAAGCCCACGGGCTCACCAACTCACGGCGTGTGGATTTGATTGGGTTTTTCCAACCCATTTATCTTGGCGGGCTAGTCCAAACCAAGCCGCTAAAATTTTAACTCATGCGAGCTGGCCTGCATCTATTTGCACTGCTCTAATCACCATATGGTTTATAAACTTTCTCATGCGAAACCTAGTAAGTGTAAATTTGAATTATTTTATGTGGGTGGTACTCCCTAGTTCCTCTCTTCTTATATATGAGAAAAAAAATGTATTACATAATTTTAAAAAGTCAGTTAGCTATAATAATTACTTTCTCTATTCTTATATATAAGAATCTTTTAAATTTTTTATTCCTAAATATAAAATATTGTTAGTATTTTTTTTAATAAATGGATCATTATACCTTTATTAATTGAAAGAGAAAAAGAATAAGTATTTTCATTAATTTACTTTGAAAAAATATTTTTTTTTTATTTCAACACAATTAAAGTAAAATTGAAATGTTGTGCTTTAATTAGATGACAAACTTTTATTAATTTATATGATTTGGCTTAAAATATCTATATATAAAGGCCATGGAGTATGTCTAAAAGTAAAATAAGTGAACTAAAATATCATGTATTAATTAACATAAGTGTACCTTAATTTTTTTCATTGATGTAAATCATGAAGAATGATTTAAAAGATATATAATACTTATTGAAATTGATAATCGTACTTATAAAAAATATAATTAAAAGTGATTTTTTTTTTAATGAAAAAAATGAGGGAGTATAAGTGAAAGTATCGTGCAAGACATTTGCCTTGTGAAATTTGCAAAATGCAAATTCCCTATCATGCATAAGTGTTAAACACTCAAGTTTATTTATGAGTTTAACGTTTTTATGTGTTCAGCTTATAAAATCGTGTCAACTTACTCATAAATTCAACTAAATACAAACTTAGTTAAACTCGCAAGTTTACCTCTGAATTTATCATTTTTATAGTTTTAACTTATAAAATCATATCAACTAGTTTCATACTCAAACTAAATGCAATCTTAGTTAAATTTGTTAAACTCGTCATTTTTTTTTTGAATAAGTTAAGTATATATAGTTTGAAGAATTCAATTCATAAAAATTGTAAGACCTTATCCAAAGAAAAAAAATTAAAATATAAAAATAATATTAATAAAAAAGAAAACAAAATATTAAAAATAAATTGTCCTATTTTTTAAATTATTATGTCTTATATATGATAATTTATCAATGTAGATGGATTTAATTTCAATTATTCATATTTTTAATATATTTAAATTAAATTACAATAATATTTTAATGATTAATTATTAATAAAAGTATACTCTTATAATTATGATTTAAATTCATGATATGAATTTTATATTTTTGTCATAAATTTATTTAAATTTGTGAGTTTCACAATCTTATTTTTGACGTTTTATTTATAAGTTTACTTTCACATGGTTACGGTAATCACCGTTATTGTCCCAATGTCCAATGAGTTTTTAGCGCGGAATATTCGCATCGGCTATCGAATATGCGCAGGCGCAGCAGCCACCAGCCAGCTTTTTATTTGATGGACGAAGCACTAAATTCTCGCCAATAGCGCTTGTTCCTCGTCATTTGTCCCGGCCTCGTTTCAACCCTTTGTCCTTCGCCAATAGGTCTTTTCCACCGGTTTATAAAAGCAGCTGAACTGAACTGAACTTCGTGATTTCATTGGGTTTTTAAATCATTGTCCCCCATAACGTAAATCATGTTTTCTGGGCCCGTGATATGGCCTATGGGGTAGTTTATGTCAATGCTGGTTTTTCTTTTTCAGGCCAAAAACTTGTGCTCTTTTCCTAGCATGTCAAATTAGCTAAAAATCGTTTTTTCCTTCAAATAATTGCCCTTGATTAATTAACGAGATAAAAAGCTTAAGCTAATCAAAGGACCGACTTGTACCAATGTGATTGAGTTTAGCAAAAGTGACTATTGTTTCATAATGTAATAAATTTAAATTCAAATTTTTATTAATAAATGTATTCACATTTATATCTCACCTTTTCATAATAAAATATTTATAAAGAATAAAAAAAGAACTGTCTCATTTATCACTTGAAGAAGGAGTCAGCCCATATTGTGTCGGGAGTTGCATTCGGTGCTCATTGTTTGTGATGACCACCGCGTGCTCATCAGATCACGAGAAATCTCTATTTCAGCCCTTGTTTATCCTTGCTGTTTATTTAAATTAATTTTTTAAATATTTTTAATATTTCATTTATTAATATAAAAAATTAAAAAATTAAAAGTTTAATATATCTGTTTATTACCAATCTAGTCAGTACAGATTTAATCTAGCAATCTAATTTAATATGAAAAAATTATACTTTTACAATTTGATTATACAGATAGACTCTGTACAATTCAGATATAATTTAGATGACCTAATTTAATATTAAAAATTTATTAATTTTACAAATTAACCATTTAAATATATTTTAAATAGTCTAGATTTAATATTAAAATTTTTTTATATTTTTTATTTTAATAAATATAATGTTAAAAATATTTAAACATTAATTTAAATGAACGACAAGGATTAAATAAGGCTGAAATGAAGGGCCAACATTAGTCCTGGCCCTGATGAGCACACGGCTCATCGTTATGAGGAGTACTAAATGTGGACGCTATTGTGTTGATACGCGACAAAAAATTGAAAAATCAAAGCTGCAACCTCTTACTTCAGAGCAAAGAAGGAATTTAAATTTTCAAATATAATATTCCATCCGTCTCAAATTATAAGATACTTTTGAATGAGTTTTTTTATCTCAAATATAAACACTTTGAGTAAATTAATGTTTCATTAAATGTATCAATTTCAATATTACCCTTTTTTCCTCTATAATTAATTTACGTTTCTTCTCTTTTTAATATATTAAATTATGAGTGTTTTTGAATTTTATATTTTTGTTTTGAAAAGATAAAGTTGTTAATTGTATTTAATAATATTTATTGATATGTGAGATTTTATCTCTAAACTATCTTATAATTTAAAATGGAGGGAGTAATTAACTTTTTCCAACATAAAGTATGTGCAATTGTGTAAAAATATACCCTATGAAAAATTCACTGCCATATCTATCCTTATCGTATTGAGTATAACCTAAGGCATAGTATGTCGGTTTCATGTTTTTGTAGGATATAAAATAACTTGTATTATTCATTATTTATGAATAATATGGTTTTTTTAAGAAATTTTATATTATACATGGATATGGATGGATAGACGAATTAAAGGGTCACATAATAATTCACAAGTTAAATTAAAGGGTCACATAATAATTCACAAGTTATATAGAAAAATGTATTTCATCTGAGGTATGAACTTAAAATGTGGTAACAAAATTTTTCAACTTTAGAGTGAAAATTAATTTTCTGAAAGAGCTAGTTATAAAATATTTTTTATCAGAACCGAGTTGAAATGAAATACACATTCATAGAATAAAAATGATTTTATTTATCATAAAACAAAAAATTATTTTATTTTATTTTTGATACAAATAAAAATGATTTTATTCTTATTAGTCATTTCTTAAGATTTTCATTTTCTTGTAAATACAGCAATTAAGCTGATTAACGGTAACTAACTCTCCTTCCCCTTGTGTGTATATTTTTGGCTTGTATATTTGTAATTCAAATGTATAAATTATTGTTAACTGATTTACATTTAAAAAAAAATTTGTTAAAATTTTGACTAAAATTTTTTTTACATCTTTTTAATTGTATTATTGAGTATAATAAATATAATACTTAACTTATTTAAATATTCTCATTAATAAGTGTTTAACTAAATATATAAATATAATAACTACCAAGTGTCTGGGTTTTATACCTTAGACCAAATGTCTTTTGTAATTTAAATAATGAAAGTTTGGATCACCTTTTTGTCCCATGTAGTTTTACTAAAGCTTGTTACTTTGAGAGTTTTCTAAATTTTAGAATTAATTCTCAACCCTCTTGGAAGTTGGTCCAATGATTAAAAGCTTGATTAAATAATTTTTAAACTCATGAAAATAACCTAACTGTGTCTGATATTTTAATTTTTATACTTTCTTATTTAAAAATATAAGAGATTTTTAACTGAATCTCACCTCTTGATAAAATAGTTCCTTACTTTTAAATTAATCCTATCTTTTCATCTTTACTCTATTAAATACACTACAATTTGAAGAAATATTAACGAAGTTGATTTTTAAAGTTCAACTATTTTAAGAAGTTAGGATCCAAAAAATATATGTAAATAACAATACTTGAAAGCACCAATCATTCACTTTTAAAAACATTCCTTGTCTACCAAAATCGGGAAACTCGACCTTAGATGGAGGCATTCAAAAGACTTTCATTTTTTTGTTTACAAGAATATTTGGTTCTCAAATTAGCTATAGTGTTATTATGAGACTTGGCTTGTATAAATTATTTTGTACTTTCTCCAATTTCATTTATTTAAAATCACATTTTAAAAGATATATTTGATTTCATTTATAATTCACATTGCGGCTCTTTTAGATAATAATTTGAAAGATATTTCTAAATTTACTCTTGCGAGATAGAGAAAGTAATATGATATCACTTTTTTAAATTTATTATATAATGGCATATTTAAAAATTTTATATACTTTTATTTATTATTATTTTTTGCATGATATGATGAGGTTAGTAAAAACTGACTTGTAAAAAAGATTGGGGAAGTATTAAATTCAAAACTAAATTAGTAGAACAAAGTAACTTTACAATCTTTGAAAAAGACATAGGTGCTCTAGAGACAATATAGTGTAGTAGTTTTTATTTTTAATTTGAAGTTGTTTTTTTGATAAAAAAAATAAAAAACATTACATTTTGATTCTTACCCTTTGCCGGTGTTTTGTTATAAATACTTGCACTTTTTCTTATGTTTTATGTTCATCTAATGTCCTCATATTTTGTTAATTTAAGGACTTAAAACATTAAAAAATGAAAGTGTAGGGATCCAAATAGTGAAAAGTGCAAAGGATCTATAATTAAAATATGAGTAAAATTTAGGGACCAAAATGTATATTTTTTTCTAAAAAAATTACACCTTAGAGCAATCAAATTTTTAAAATGACTTATAAAGAGTAATTAGTATTCTCTTTATCCTAAATTATAGAATATTTTTAAAAATTTTTTTTTATTTTAAAATATAAGATACTTTAGTTAAATTAAATTTCGTTTTAAATGTACCAATACTTTTTTTCTCTATATAATTAATTTATGTCTCTTTTTTGTTAATATATTAAATGATGAGTATTTTTAAAAATTTATATTTTTATTTTAAAAAGATAAAATTATTAAAAGATATTTAATAAAATTTATTAATATATAAAATTTTTATTTAAAAATCTTTTATAATTTGATTACGGGCATAGTATTTAGTATTTAGTATTTAGCTACCACCGGACGTCAGCACATCCTTATGCTTTGAATTGAACGTCACACTAAGTCACCGACCGACGGCTTTGTCGTCTCTCGGCCCTTCTTGACGTGTGCAATTCTCGTTATCGTCCTCTTTACTCCACAGCTCGTTCTCCAATCTCTTGACTGCTTCGACCTCGGCTTTCCTCTTCTTCCTCTGCTCTTCACGGCGTCCTTTGTTCCTCATGTCCTCCGACTACCTCTTCAAGTATATTATTATTGGCGACACAGGTCTCCTCCTCTTCCTCTTCCAATCCCTAGTTCTTTTCTCAATTGCCTTCCTACTTTGAATCCCTGTTTTCGGATTTCTATCTGGCGCGACTCAGGTGTTGGCAAGTCATGCCTCCTCCTACAATTCACCGACAAGAGGTCCAGCCGGTTCATGATCTCACTATTGTGTCGAGTTCGGCGCTCGTATGGTCACCATCGATGGCCGACCCATTAAGCTCAGATTTGGGGACACTGTAAATCCATGCTGTCCTTCCCTCTCTTTTCTTTTTTTGATGAATTGAAGTCAGAATAAATTGAAAATATGTACTCATTGCCTAGCGTTAACCTTGGGACTCGGTGATCTCATCGTTTCTGAACTTGGAGCTTCAGGTAGTCCGTATTTTCGTCTTGGTTGCAATATGGAAAAATATTCTGCCTTTCTTTAAATGAAGAGGAGTGGGGACATTATTAGCCTGAAAGGTTCGTCCATTGAATATATTATCGAATTTGTGATCATTCGCCCAATTCAATTCAAATTCACAAATCTTAATAAAGCCACGTGTTGAATGCCATGAAATAATTGACCTTCAACAAACTTTTCGAGTTCCAAATATAGGGGAGTAATTTTAAGATTGAAACCTTATTAGAAGACGTCTCATAATCTATTATCTCTACCACATGCTCGGATTTTTTGGTCGATCTTTTTCTGCCGTGCTGTTTTTCTCTTCTCTTTCTTCTTTCCTTTTCCTTTGAAAACTTTGGAAACTACATAACCTTTTTTCTGATTTGAATACAATAAACAATCTTCAAGGCATTACGCATCTTTTGTTTGTTGTTTGTTTTTGTTTGGAACAGGTGAGAGCATCTTAATTTGATTAATTAGTTTCTTGGCTTTATAATCCCATATGTCGCAAGCTTCTCAAATCAATCTTTTTATTTTTTTTTTATTTTTGAACGAAACAGCTTCTCCAAATCATATCTGACACGTCTGTAGAATGATTCTAATTAAGAGATCTCTCTACAATTATACTTTATTAACGCCTAGTTTTCACGACCAAGAAAAGATGGCCTAGTTTGATATCACGCAACTTGTTCTTGTTGTAATTGTAATATTCTCTATATCGTGTCAAAGAAACCTCACATTTCCCAAGATTGAAGAAGCCTTTGTGTATAAATGCTAAGATGAGAATCGAGCAACTGAGATGAACCCCAAGAGAGAGTGACTGTGCTCATACATCGTACGTGAGTGAGACATGATATTGGGCTCTTTTATCAAATCAAAATATTTGCATTTTCAAAAATATTTTAAAGGACCAAATTCGATGTTCAAACCCTTAGAATTTGCAATTCATAATGCTGATTAATTATTCAAGTATTAATCTTTAGAACTTTGTAAGTAATTAATGATGACTTGTTCAAAACTCTAACCTTTCTAAATTTACAATTTACAATTTACAATGTCTATTGATGAGTTTCTTAATCTATTCAATGTTTAAGTGCTTACAAAACTCTAAAGGTTTTAATGGTGCCCAACCCAACATTCCTGTACATCTATTGCCCATGTAAGGCATGCTTGTGGAGTGTACAGAATAGATTGTCTTGAGCTTTTGAGCATGCCTCTTCCGTCTCCCAAGTTCTTCTTTTCCATGTGTGTATTTTTGTTGTTCTGGCACCCTCTTTTATATAGGAAGGGTTGTTTAATAGTTGCTGCATTCAACTTGTGTGGGGTAATAAGTCTCAAGGACAGTATCTTTAGGCACTACTTGAATCAGATTATCTAACAAATTCCCAACATTTCTTGCATGGCAGTAACTCTTAAAGGATGTGATAATGAGTGCTTTGATTGCATTTTTAGGACTGCCATGCAAAGTTGTCCTTTTTAGATTCCACTCACTAATTAACATATGAAACAGTCTTGATAGTGCTGAATATAGTTTTCTTTAGTTTCTATTTCCTCCAAGTTTCTGAAATTGTGATTATATATTTTGAGTGAACCAATTACAAACTGCCTGCAAACAAATTATTCTGTGCAGGGTGACGGTTTGATTTATTTGGTTATGTTGGGATCTACATGAATTACATTCTAACAGGTTGTGTAGGTAGCATGGTGTAACCCAAAATGATTTGCAATTACTTCAATGTATGTTTTTCTATGTGCTGAAGAAGGGTGTCTTGTTAAACTGTAGGCTGGGCAAGAGTCATTTAGATCCATCACTAGATCTTACTACAGAGGAGCAGCGGGAGCCCTCCTAGTTTATGACATCACAAGGTGGGGTGTTGATTTTATCACTTGAAATAAGGCATTCTCTGCATGCTGGAGGGTGATGCCATACTCATCACCCTTCCATATGCTCCCGTGTTGTGTGTTTTCCTCTTTGGAATCGCTAGCAGGATGCAGATTCTTCATTGCCTACAGGAGAAGTGAAATGCAGTGCAAATGTGCGGCATATGTTATTGTTAACAGACTTTTGGCAGCTGACCAAAGCTTTATGTTGCCTTTCCTTTTGCAATTGTTGATTCTCTTGTTCAAAAGTTCTTTTGCACTGAATCTAGAACATAGGTGCCTGTTGTCTGGTCATGCTTCTATTTGGACTATCTAAGATTATACATTCAAATTGCGCTGGTTATGCTCAAGCACTTGTGATTCAACATGCGTTTTATGATCTTCTGTATTTATGGACATCCAGAGCAGCACAATTTTATTCCATTTACAAAAACATGTGTAAATCACTATGCCCATTTGTGGGGGATATATATGAGGCTTTCTTTTTCTTTTGTTTTATTTCCTCTCTTATAGCACCAACTGACAACCAGAAGCTTGTTCTGTTGACCAGGAGGGAGACATTTAATCATTTAGCAAGTTGGCTGGAAGATGCCCGACAGCATGCCAGTCCTACCATGACTATCACGCTCATAGGAAACAAGGGTGATCTGTCTCACCGAAGGGCTGTGAGCAAAGAGGAGGGGGAGCAATTTGCAAAGGAAAATGGGCTTTTATTCTTGGAGACTTCTGCAAGGACAGCCCCAACACGTTGAAGAGGTGATATAATTTTGGTTACAAGTGCTATGAAGCCTCAAGATTATTGGCATTTTCCATTAGTGTACAATGTAACTTGAAGCATGTTCTGCAGGCTTTTATAAAAACTGCTGCTAAGATTCTTCAGAAAATTCAGGAAGGAGTCTTTGATGTCTCCAACGAGGTAATTATCAACGGTCGTTTTGATACCATGACTATCACGCTCATAGGAAACAAGGGTGATCTGTCTCACGAAGGGCTGTGAGCAAAGAGGAGGGGGAGCAATTTGCAAAGGAAAATGGGCTTTTATTCTTGGAGACTTCTGCAAGGACAGCCCAACACGTTGAAGAGGTGATATAATTTTGGTTACAAGTGCTATGAAGCCTCAAGATTATTGGCATTTCCCATTAGTGTACAATGTAACTTGAAGCATGTTCTGCAGGCTTTTATAAAAACTGCTGCTAAGATTCTTCAGAAAATTCAGGAAGAGTCTTTGATGTCTCCAACGAGGTAATTATCAACGGTCGTTTTGCATGTTTAAGTTTGTAGGATTTTATGAGTTGAGGTATAGGTTGGACCATTGACAATTTGACCATAACTAGCCCCATGTGGTATCGGTAATATAAATCTGAATGACATTATCAGACCGAAGATACTGACATTAGATTCTCTTAGTCGCTTCTTGAGAAAGCCAATTTTGTGCCCTTGTTTGAACTTCAATGGCTTATGGGAAGATGTGCCTATACGAAACTGGCTTCTTCTTTCTTTTCTTTTCTTTTTTTCCCTAATAATCAAACATTAGATGCATTGTGCTTCTGCTGATTTTCCTGGAAAAGAATGGTCATGGATGATCTTCAGCCGAAGGACCGTGTGAGTTGTGACTTGTGAGTGCTAATATTATTATGAATAATAATTCCATTACTGCAGTCAATCTGGCATAAAGGTTGGCTATGGACGTCCTCAGGGTTCATCAGGTGCTAGAGATGGAACAGTCAGTCAAACAGGTGGGTGTTTGCAACTGATTGGGAAGAAACTTTTATTGAATCATATCCCTGGTGTACATCCTTTTGTAACGTTACCATATTTGCTTGACTGGGACAGATTGGACTCCATATTTGCTTGACTGTAGTTCTAGGTAGAGACCGTTACGATATCTGTTCAATGCCCACATTTTCACTTACCTCTGTTGTTCCAGTATGATTTACCAGTTGCAATAGTAATATGCTTGTCAACCCTTTTACTTATCAAGAAGCAGCAGAAACATGTCCAATTTGCGCAGTGTTGGAATAATGGTTGAGTTTTGACTGGCAGTTATCAGTTTATTTTCTTGGCCTGTTAGGCTTTTGCGCCACCGTTCTACAATCTTTGCAATCATATCATATTCCAGAATCAATATTATAGTCATTTAGGAATATTGATTCATGGTTGCACTATTTTCACAATTTTTTATCATATCTGAATGGAATTAGATTACCATATGATTAGAAGATTAGGTCTTTATCTGCGCGGCTTCCTTTTTTTCTTTTTTCACTCCATGATTTTCGCGCACAGTGAAAATTTGAATTCAGATGTATGTACATCTGAAAATTGTCCTCGAGTCCTTGTAAAATGCTTATGTCAACGTTCTGTTTTATATGAATATCTGAGTAGATATATGGAGTATGAATTTAATAATAAACCAAATATTTTTCTATTAACGCATAACCAGGGGCAATAGGACCGAGGGTTAGATAGGGGGTGGTACAATTTTTTGAAAAATAAATAATTAAAAAATAATGGTTGGATCCTATTGCCTTATTGGATTTTGCTTGATGGGCTCCAACATAATAATGCCCTAAGTTGTGCATTGGCGTTGGGTTTTCATTCGTAGGAGGTTGCGAACTTAATCTCGCTGACTTTTTAACTGGTTTTAACTTGGCTCTTATGGAGAGGGAAAAAAGATATGGTGATTATGTGATCGCTTAATCAACCTAAACTATGAAAAAATAATTGTTTATAATCTATATATTTATATATAACATTTCTAGAATGTTTTATTGTTCATAAAGTACAGATATTGTAACGTATTTTAAATTCCGTGCAAAATGCATTGCTCTTTGTTTAATTACATTTTAATTTAAAAATGTATAAAATCTTAAAAAATAATTAACCATGAATAAAATAAAAAAAGAATTAATCATAATGAGAAATATTTATTAATAGAATAAAATAAAAAGTTTAATAATTAAATTATTTCACAATTATAAATTTTAAATAAATTTTATTGATATAGTAGGTACTTTTTTCATTAAAAAATGTAAGATATTTTTTAAGGAGTTAAATGTTAAAAAATAAAATAATTTTTAGTCTTTTGAAAAGTAAATCATTGTTTTTTTAAAAGTATTTTTATCAATAATAATTTTTATTTAATTATAAAGTGTTTAATAAGAATAAATATAAAAAATAATATTAATTTTAAATTTTAAAAATAGGTAATTAATTTATTAAAGGGTGAAATTTAATTAAAAATAATTTAATATTTTTAAAATGGAGGGAGTAAATATGGAACATTGGCAAAAGATGACACGACCCACATAATTTCAAACAAGAAATAGAAAACGACAACTAGGTTGGGGCGGGAAAAGGGGGGACAAGGCATGCGTTGCCTCGAATTTAAAAAAAAAAGAAGAAGAGAAAGTACAATGGATAAGGGCCAGCGTTGCGGATTAGCGTTTCATTTATTTTTGTGTCATTTTTTTTTTTTTTGTAAAATGAGACGTTCAATATCTTAGAAAACATTTGAATTCCCTTTAAAAATATGACTGCTACAATACTTACAACTTTTATATAAGATATAATTCTGCAAAATAATAATATAAAGACTTTGGGTCGTTCAGTTTTTATTTTCATTTATTATTTTTTAAAAATTATTTTGTAATACAGTTTTTTAAAATTATTTTTTAAAATAAAATAAAATAAAATTTGTTTAGTTATGTCAATTAAAAAATAATTTTTGAATCAAAAAATGAACTGATAGTGATAATTATAAACAGTTAATGATAATGATTAATATTTGTAAAGATAAGTATAATTTTTAATAATTAATATAGTATATTTTAAAAACAAGAAAAATAAATAAAAATATTTTAATTTTTTTTCTATTTTTGTTTTTAAACATAACCACTGAAAGTAATTTTGAAAATAATTCAATGAAAAACACTATTCCAATAAGTTTTTAAACCTTTTTGTTTTAAAAACAAAACATAATTCTTAAAAACAGAAAACAAACAAACCATGCTCTTTAATTCCATATTTACTATTGGTTATATTTTGTATAAATTTTATCAAAATTAACAAAACATAAATTTTAAAAACCCTAAAATACAATCAAAATTGCACTCTGAATTTGAAGAATTTAATTTTCCTCATATGATAAAAATTGTTAATCCAAAAAATCTAAATAAAAAAATATTTTTTTTGGGTCCTAAACAGTGACCTTCTTTCATGTCAATCTTGGGAGCATATGGGATAGAATCCCATTACGTCAGAACGAAAACTCTTGCATATGGAATTACGCAGTTGTTACCTAAAAAAAAATTGCGCAGTTTGCGTGTTTTGGTTGGATTTGGAGGCTTTGATCAATAAGCTCGTTTGTTTCAGATGCTCCTTCATTCCGATTCATAATCACTTTCTGACGTGATTTTTATCAGAAGGCTGAAATACTTTAAAGTTGGCATTCATCAGAATTACACTTTCAGTTCCTGGAACAATGGCGACTCGCATGATCCTTGGAGGTATCCGGAAACGCACCGTTTTGCTGTCTGCCTCACATTTTCAGTCACTCTCATCCGCTTTGACTTCTAGATATGTAATTTCTCAAACCACTTACTGGATTACATCTTCAAATAAGAATCTTTCGATTTATCTCTCTCTCTGTCTCTGTACTCAAATTCAATTTAGGTAAGTACACTGGTTTATAGCAGAGCACGAAGGTGGTGCTGTAAAAGCTCCTTCCATCAGCGCGGCGCGGTTGCGGCTGCCAAGTCGTTAGGTGATGATGCTTCAATTTCTGTGCTTTTGGCTGGTTCGGGTCCTTCCCTTCACGATGCTGCTTCGCATGCTGCTTCATGCCACCTTCAATCTCTCAGGCAAATCCCTTTGTTTTTCTTATTATCAATTTTACTCTGAAGTATCTGGTGTAGGATTTATGAATATGTTTGAAAAATGGGGAATACTGAAGACAATTTATTGGATATTTCTGGTATGCTACAAATGAGTATTTTTGATAAAGGAGATGGATCATTTGTCTGCAGAACGATATAGGAAGTGGAAAAAAGATTATGCTTTGGGATTTTGATGGTTGCTGGGTGCTATTTGTTGTTTAGGTGCTTGTGGCAGATTCAGATAAATTCAAGAACCCTCTAGCTGAGCCCTTGGCAAAATTAGTTCATTTGGCTCAGCAGAGTGGTGGTTACTCTCATATTATTGCCGCTTCAAATTCATTTGGGAAAAATGTGGTGCCACGGGCAGCGGCTCTTTTAGATGTTTCTCCAATCACTGATGTTATCGAAATTTCTGAATCTCATACTTTTGTGAGGTGCATTTTTTTCTATCTTCATTTTGTTTGATAGAAGAAAGTAATTGTTTACTGCACAAGTCGGTGCTACCTCCCTATCATGAATTGGAGCAAGCTAGATACTTAAGTGGCTCAGAATCACTATCAATTGTAACATACAACTAAATCGTTGTTGATATTATCATGCTCTCTCTCTCTCTCTCTCTCTCTCTCTCTAATAAACCAAGGTTCTCCACTGTGTCTAAATTTTTTGGGTTCTTATGCTATTTAACTGAGGGAGTCAATACTGCCTCTTCCAGCTTTTTCTTTCATAATTTTATGTTATGGATTTGTGGCTGATCTCTCATTTTCTGGGACCATAAAAACCCCCATCCCTGATTGCTTTATATTAAACTAATGAGATTGATCTTCGGGAATTTTTATGATGATAAAAAGTTTAACCATTGACAGATACAGTCATGATGTTGTCCTTTGGATTATGCAAGCTGTTGAGTCATTCCCCATGGACCTGCTTTCGACTTGGTCATGTCCTATAAAAATGTTAATTTCTTCATCTGACTGATAGCAAGGTTCTAATATCATATTGCAGGCCTATATATGCTGGAAATGCCCTTTCAACTGTTCGATATACTGGTGCTAACCCTTGTATATTGACAATTAGATCCACATCTTTTCCCATTTCCCAGAAAACAGTTGATTCAAAATCTAATCAGGCTACAATATCTCAGGTTGACCTTTCAACATTTGATGAAGGTCAGCTTTTTCTGTTTCTGATGCATAGAAATTTTTGTTTAATGGCAGTATGAAAATAGACAAGGATATAAAATCTGAAATGAACTTGCCCAATATTTGTTCATTGACTGCTGGATATTGTTAGAGACTTAAAAGAACTTGTTTAATATCATGGATAATTTTCTCGATCATTTTCATCTCTTAAATCAATTGTTAAACATCAGGTATTTGAAGTTATCCCAAATGGTGATTTTTTTTTTTTTGAGATTTTACAGATCTTGGCAAGTCTAGATACATATCTCATACATCTCAGGATTCAGAGAGGCCAGATCTTGGGAATGCACGTATCGTTGTTACTGGTGGTCGTGCGTTGAAAAGTGCTGAGAACTTTAAAATGATTGAAAAGTTAGCTAACAAGCTTGGTGCTGCTGGTATTTTCTCTGGATGATACTATTATACTGATTCATATGCATGGGGATTTTGTTTTTTCTCTTGTCACTGCATTTCCTATATGCTCACTGATTAAATAATCCAATGCCATTATCTCATAGTCAGATCAGACCAGCAAATCTTAGTCTCTAATTACATGCATTGACATTTTAGTGTGATTGAATATTTTAGAACCAGTAGGAAATTTTCGTTATTGTCACCTATACACCTATTATTTATTTTCTGAAAATCTAATTATTTAATTTTCTTTTGCTTAGTTGGGGCCACTCGAGCTGCTGTTGATGCTGGGTTTGTTCCCATGATCTCCAGGTGACAATTTACTTTCCTTTGAAATTGAAATTATTTTCAGGGGAATGACAAGTAAGGACCCCAGAAAAAAACTTAATGTCAAATTAAGACTTTTTTAACACTAAAATTCCCAAATTTAGTACCCCTTCTCCCATATTTCAGTATTTACATTCTTAATTTGACCTTAATTTTCTTACAAGGTCCGTACTTGTCATTCATCCATTATATTCCTCACCTCAACAGACAATGACATGCAAACAAACTGGAGAATGGGAGAAAAGTTTTTTTTTTTCCGGGCTATATTCTCTGGTCTTTACATCCTTTGCTTGACTACCTTTTTCTAAGAATATGTTCTAATTGCAATGTTGCTGGGTGAAAAGGGTACACGTTTTAAAAGCTAAGCCAAACAGCGACTCATTACTTAGTCAATTGGTGTAGAAGTTGAAGAAGCACATGAAAGTGAAACACAAATCATCAAAAATATTATCAATACCAATCTTCTATATTTTATGTAAATTTATAACAAGCTGTACTGTTTACAAATCACGAATAGTGCACATTGTCAATTCCCTATCTCCAGCACCAAAACTGATAACTCCAAATTAATCCTGAATTACCATGATATATTCTCATCTTGCATTGTTTATACTGTGATTTTTAGTCTACACAATCTTTTACATCTTCGGTAACATAGTTTGTATATGTCTCGCCAAAATAACATCAGATAAATTATGCTGGCAATGTCTGCCTGGTGCCGTATTAACACAATCTTTTTGGCCTTGGTATTGATTGCTCATTCAATGACATTTTTTTTTTCGGGTGGGTTGGGGGTTTTGGTCATGCATCTGATAGGCTTTGAAATGAATTTCAATATTATCCTCTTAAGCTGCATTTATTGATTCATCGAGTTAATACGTGATCCCACGCCTTTTTCCTTTTGTCATTTTGATGTGCATATATAGGTTGGGCAAACTGGGAAAATTGTTGCCCCAGAACTCTATATGGCATTTGGGGTGTCAGGAGCTATTCAACACTTGGCAGGGATGAGAGATTCCAAAGTCATTGTTGCTGTAAACAAAGATGCTGATGCTCCTATATTTCAGGTTATAGCTCTCTCTCGTTTTCAAGTAAATTTATGCTTCCATATTGATCCCTATCTTACTTTTGAAGTTTTTATTGTTAAGACAGAATAAACTTGTGTAGGCGTACATCCTATGGTTATCTTTACCATGTTTGCAATTGAATTTTACATTTTAATATGATATTGTTCATTGCAGGTTGCCGATTATGGACTAGTCGGAGATCTGTTTGAAGTGATCCCGGAGTTGCTAGAAAAGCTTCCTGAGAAAAATTAATCCAATAGCTTTCAATGATCAAAGTTGTATCGTTAGAACTTTGTTTACCTCATTTAAAAAAAAAATGAAAAAAGATATGTGGATACTAATTGGCGCTATACCAGTTAAAGCAATATATGACTTTAACTATCCAACAACGTAAACTATATATGCACAAAAAATCTCTCTTTTAAAGCTAAATTTACACCTTGAAAAATTCCAACTCCAATAAATTGTGGTTGAACGTACAACCTGCAATGACTCATGCCTGGGACCACTCCTACATGCCTAGAGGATCTATGATTAGCTGACTCATTTTAAGTTGGGTTAAAGGATAAAAATATTGCAAAATTTTTTTAAAAGGAGCAAAGTTTTTTTAAAAGGAGTATCCGATATCTTTGTTTTTCAATTGGTGTAATGTTGCTCAAAGCTTTTAAAATCAATTCAATCTCACTCTATCATTAAATTGTGGAGGGGGTCTCTTCTTTTTCTTCTCTCATTTTTCCTCCACTTCTTCAATCTTTACCATTTATTACTATTTTATTAAATATTTTTTTTTAAATTATAAATGAATGAAGGGTAAAAATTAGAGAAATGAAGGGAAAGGAGAGAAAGAAGAGGAGAGACTCCTCTCCCCATTAAATCTGGAGTTAGTTGATTGTTAAATATTTTTGGCTGACCAAAGATTTACGCAGCAACAAGTTTTAGGTTCGACATTTCTCCCCCCTCACTTCCTTGTCTTCTCCATTCAGACCCTTCTGCTTCCTCTTCTTCCTTTTCCTTCCATTGCTGGATAATTGACTTGGCCTTATCCAAAGCGAAATGTAAGCTTGGAGCATAGTGCCCGAACTGCTAACGCACAATTTGGCTGGGCAGATTCAATGGCTAACACAACTTGCGAAATTCTCTCAACAAAACTCCCAAGATCTAGACATATTGAACGATGCACCTGCACAAACAAGAAACCGGGCAATATATATATGTGTGTGTATATAATACAGTTTCATTTCATCAAATTCTCTCTTGAAGGTCTCTGCTCTGTGCTGTTTCTAAACCTAAATCGTAAAGTAGCTGAAGTTTAATGATTGAATAGAAGGCATCGATAGTAAAGGAAACATGATGGGGTACAGGGGACGAATCGATTAGAGTGTAAGTACCTTGACTTGAGAAGTAGGCGAAGGGTCCAAAGCTTTAGAGAGAGTAGTGTTGGCCATGGGAACTAAGAAAGCCGATGAATAAGCGAAGATGCTTCAACAATGGAGCAGAGTGGGAGATGCCTTATGATGAGTGCTCGTCTTCTGATTACCAACTTCCAACATTTCTGGCGCGCGCGAGAGAGAGAGTATCTTTTCTCTATTAAATAAATTGCGAAAAGAAGCCAATGAGTGCTGAAAATCCGGATCCGGTTTCGGTGCTAGCAGCTTGCTCAGCACCAACATGCTCATCGTTCAGGAAAAAATTTGCGCCATTTTAATTTAATTTGGATAGCTCAAATTTTTTAATTTTTATTTTTATATTTATAAAAATAAAATTTTATAAATTTTTTAATAATATATTCGACAGTATTAATTTAATTTAAATATTTAATTTAATATTATAATTTTTATAAATTAATTATCTAAATATATTTTGATAGTTCAGATTTAATATTAAATTTTTATTTATAAGATTAGATTTACAATTTTTTATTTTTATTTTAATTTAATTTAATATTTATTAAAATAAAAAATTATTAAAAAAATTATTATTAAATTTATTGTCCAGAGTGCATTTAAATAATAAATTTATAAAAATTATAATATTAAATTAAATTATTTATAATTTCGGATTGAATTAATAATATTCAGATTGATAATAAATATATTTATAAAAAAATTTACAAATTTTACTTTTATAAAATATAAAATTAAAATTAAAATTAAAAAATCTGAGCCATTCAAATAAAATTTAAATGGCTCAGATCTTCTTTGAGTGCTGAGCACCTCGGTGGTGAGCAAGCTGCTGAGCACCCAAATCGCATCCGCGAAAATGCACGAAGGAGGGAAAGTAGGAAACGAAAACCGGAGAGAATAGAAGCATTCGAAGCAGAGAAACGGAGGGGAAGTTTCTAAGCTCAACGTCCACGGGTCCTATTTTTGGGCCAAGGAAGTTTTTAACAATGAATTAATTTTAAAATTAACGGAGCGAGATTGCATTAATTTTAAAAATTCTGGATAACATTATTCTAACTAAAAGGTGAAGATATTCAGTACTCCTTTAACAAAATTTTGGAGATATTTTTAACTCTTAAACTTTTTAAGTGTACAAATACAAAGGACGTAGTGAGAATGACCCTAAAATATGATGTCGGGTCATATACTTTAATAATACTCGCTAAATTGTCTTCTCCCTATTTATATTCGAATTCACCATACGCTCATCCTTATTTTCCAAGCTTGTTTTTTTTACTTCACAGTATAAAATCAATAATCCCAAATATGAATAAAGTTGAATGGAATCTTTTTTTTTTTTTTGTCAAATGAATGGAAGCATGTTATGAGCAGCTGGGTTAGTTAAAATGAAACGAAATGAAGAATAATTGTTCGGATATAAAATATAATAAACATCATATATTCAAATTATTTTATACGAGAAAATAAATTTCAAAACATTTAGTTTTTATAATCTCAATTTTACTATAATTCAGTCTTTAAATTTTAACTTGACACAATTTAATTCTTATGATTTTTTAATTCAATTAAAACTTAATCTTTTAATTTTAACTCAATTCAACCCAATACTATAAATAGTTAAAACTATAAATAAAAATGATTGAATTATAAAGAATCAAGATTTAAGGATAATAAAATATATGGAGACTCAATTGGATTAAGTCAAGTTTAAAAGTTAAATTTTAATTAGGTCAAAACTCATCTCATGATTGATATTTTTTTTTTCTATAGGCTTTTCAACTTAATGTACCCGAAGTCCCGAACAAAGCTTCTTGAACGTCTGGCGAACATACTTACGTCATACCAAGTGGGGCAGATTTCAGAAGATATGTCCACACACTCTAAAGTCTCAACTTCATCAAAAATCACAAGTCAAAAAGTCTCTTATGACAGGTTTAATTTATAATTCTGTCCTGTAATTTCACTTTGTCTACGGACACGTAACAAAATCCTAAACAATAGGTAAATAAATGAAGGGTAGGTCCCACAATAGCTTATTATTAATAGGATCCATCACATTAAAAAGAAAATCCGTAATGGATCAACCTCAACACCCACCCACCCTTCTTTATTAGCATGCCACCTTCACAGGTAAGCTTTCAACTTCATTAGTTCTCACTCACACAACACTCACATCATTTTCCCCATCTCTTTCTTTTCTGCCTAATCTTATCTTCTCAAAACATCACTTAACCATCAAGCGAATCATCATGTTGCGAAAAATTCGGTCATTAATCTATTTTCAATTCCATGCACAGTGAGATTCAACCAGAGACTGGCTGTTTCTCTGTCATGAGATATATCTGGTTGAGAATTAAAGGCAAACCGCTATCTCAATGCTCGTCAATTACCCAACTCAATCTTTTATATTGATCAGTTTCTATGCAAAGACATATGGGTATCTTCTACATTCTCAGGTGAGGTTACATAGAGAAAAGAGATCATAACAGATGAAAGAGGAAACAAGGCATTAGCTTTTGATTTGGCAGGAATTATTCTATATAAATGTGATTGAAGAGTTCACACCAAAGCATGCCATGCCAAAAGAGAGAAATTAAACTAAACAGGAAAGAGTGATTTCCCTCTCAAGGTAGGCCAATGATGCGGGGTTGATCTGCATGAACAAGTAGTTGCCAGCAAATAGATCGCCAAAATGAACTTGACCCTCTTTCAATCTCTTCATCACTTTGGCACATGATCTTCTCATGGCAGACACCATCATGGCTTTCTTCCTCCACAGTCTCCTCAAGCTCGGAACTTTAAGCCTAAACCTTCTCCTGGTATGAATCCTTCTGAACCTGTGCCACTTCTTCGGCCTCACATTAATCACCGCTCTGTCTCTGGTTTCACCGTCAAACCCAGTTTCTGGTCTCAGCTTGTGGTAACGGAACTTGCCAGCAGAAGCCATTTCAATCAAAGACATGGTCGAGAGAAAGAAATGTTGCTGTATGTTCCTTCCTGATGATCTGAGAAATGGTAGGCCAAGGATATATATTAGAGAATGGAGAGAAGGTAATAAGGTTATTGGAGGAAGAAACTGTGGTTGAGTGCATTAAATGCAAGAGAGCGAGGTGACCACAACGCTGGTGGAAACGGTGGCATCACATTTATTGATATTTGCGATCTTTACATTTAGTAGAAAAGACGTTAATGAAGCACTCAATTTCTCGTCACATGGTTGGCAAGCTAGCAGTAATAACTTATAAACTGTCCACACCTAGTTGTAATCGATGTCGTTCCAAGGTAAGATTTTTTTTTTTTTTTTTTGGGTTAGGTCCTGCGTTTAATTAAATCATACTAGTATTTAGACTCTACATTTATTATAGCCTCTGCTAGTATCATTAGAATTTGGTGTTTTGTTTTGATTATTAAAAAAAATCATTAAAATTTGGATATTGTATCATACTCCATCCTATCCTTATTATAAGCATTTTCTAATAGGGATGAGTGATTCTTGTTATAAGTTAATTGATTATATATATGATACTTTTTTCAAATATTATTTCTATTTAAAATTAGAATGGGGTGTATAAATATGGAAAATTTTCATCAAAATTAATAATTTAATCACCTTTCTACATGATTAAAAATGTCTTATAATATAAAAAATGGTATTTGAGTTTAATATTTGGTTTCACGTTGGAAACTATAAAATCATAGTAGGGAAAATGAAACAAGCATAGATAAGCTTTACTCAAAAGAAGAAAATAGAAAATGATAAAAGTGGACGCGCAGAGCCCAATGAATATTATACTATATATAGAGAATATACAGAAACCTTAATGAATGTGGTTTAGCCGTGTATACAAAGAATGCCCTATAGCAAAGTACAAATATAAAAAATATATAGATAAATATACTGGAATCATTTATTGAGCTTGTATATATTGATTGGTCTTGTGTAAGTTGAGCTTCCTCCCTATTGTCTTGACAAGCATTAAGATGGGTAATCTGGTAGCAATTTTCACCCATCTAGTCCACCGACGATGCTGCTTGCAGTTAGAGAATATTGATTTGGCAATTCAGGATCTGGCTTGGCTTGTGATAAAGGGAATTAGAATTCCTACAAGTCTCACGTGGAAATATTTAAGGAGAGACGTGGCGATCTCAGAAACCTAGTCCAGTAATGGTGACCCTACATCGCAAGGGACTTTGTTGATCGGGAACACACCAATAGAAGAAAATGACATCATATACAAGCAATATAGCAATTGCACTTTCTTGCATTTGTTTCTTTAATTAGCGTCAAACAATTTTCTTTTTTTTTTCTTAGAAAAAAGAAAAAAATATTCAAGATTTATTTTCCCGTCTTAACAGATTTCATTCACGACTTGAGGAATTAATTACAGACTTGTTGGCACAGCCACACACAAAGAAAGTTACTGACGAAAATGTCAACCGCAACGTTAAAAGACGTGTATAAATATTCTTCCTGAAAACAGCTATATCTTGCCAAGTTTTATATCCCATGATTTACCAAATTCATACATTGAAGAATATGTGGCAGCGTGTGGGACTCTACTGTACAGAAAGATTTTATATATATAAATTCATTTACAGTATCAATTAAGATCAACCCGACTTTAAAGGACCAACTCTTTAAGGGTTAGAGCCTAAACGGGCTAACATTTTTAAACTCGATTATATCCCAAAATTTTATTTTTAATAGCCCGACCTTGGCTGTCAGGATTGAAGGGTCGGCCCTCAGGCCTCAGCTCTAATTTTTTTTTTTAATTTTTCAATTTAAAAATTTTAAAAAACTTTTAAAATTCTAACAAAGTTATTGCACATCATGTTAAATCTAGAAAAATAAAATAAAATCAATTTACATAACAAAAATTTTAAGTCTAATAAAAAAATAACATCCAAAATCAACTCCAACACCAATTACACGTTGGTAACATCATCAGTTAAATCTTGATGATTTTTATCATTATCGACATCAATATGATTTGATCCTTCTCCTCGTAAATCTTCATCAATGACAAATATGTTAAGCTTTTCATATTTCCTTCTTCATTCTCATTATCTGTAATAAATAATAAACCAAAATCATAATTTCAAGGTATTTAAAGAATGTAAAAATATTCAAGGTAAGCAAATAATAATATGCGTGGTTATTGTTTGAACCAAAGAGTGAATGCTGAGCTTGAATGATGTAGTATTTTCTTCTTGTTTATTTTTTTATGTTGTTCTCTTTTTTTTCAAAAAGAAAAAAAAAAGTTAGGTTAAAAAAGGCCAACCCTAACCCTAAAGGACCGGCCCTTTTATTTTTAAACTTAAAAGGCCGATTTACTTTTTTAAAAACCAAAGTAAAGGCCCGGTCTTTAATTTTTGCATGTTTAAAAGGATCAAGCCTGTAGAACCGGTCCTAATTAATAGCTCTAGATTCATTGGCTGCTTAATGAATGCCATCTGGTCTGTAAATATTAATCCAGGTCCAAACAATTTGTCCTCTGATTTTTATTGCTGCATATAAAAAATCTGCATGCCTGTATGTATTTGGTGACCACGCGGAAAAAAATATAAAAAATTATAAAGGAAAAAAATATAAAAAATTATAAAGGTAAATATGTTGGGCAAAAAAAAAAATGTTGTCTTGCTATATACAAATGAATAAAGTATGTTTGCTAAAATCAATTCAAGTTAGCTTGGGTAGTTGGAATTTTCATTATTTGTAATAATAGTTTGAGATTCGAATTTTAACCACTGTGTATGTAACTATTTAATTAAGAGGGTCTATTTTTTACCATCAACACCATAGAGAAAATAATATTTGCTGTCCATGATGTACTAGCCCAAAAAAAAAAAAAGAAAAGAAATGTGTACACTAAGAAATAATAATAATAATAACAATAATAAATTGCAAGAAGGGACGCACTTTCATCGTTTTGTACGGGTTGGAGGTAGGCCCATCTCATCGAGTGCCCAAAGGCCATATTTCATTTTACAATTACAACTGTGTCCAGCTTTCCAGCTTTTACCCCCCACTATGTGTATATGGGCCAACATTTAGGGATCACTTCAATTATCAATTGTAAGGAATTTATATTAAGTGAATGTAATACGAATAATAGCAATTTAAATTCCTTAAATATTATTTTAGGTTTAATTTTTAGAGGTGTATATAAAAAAATATTACTTAAAAAAAAATATTCCTTCCGTTCAAAAATGTAAGATATTTTTAACTGAATTTCACCCCAATAAAGTAATTACCTACTTTTCAACTAACCTTATCTTTTCATATTTACCTTTATTAAACACCCTACAATAAATATAAAATTATTATTAATAGAGATACTTAAAAAAAAAGCAATGACTACACATCAAAAGACTAAAAATATCTTACATTTTTAAACGGAGGGAGTAACTCTTTAAATAGCGCTCAGGTTTTTTGAGGGATTAATCTCATGATTGCCTCCTATGCGGATATCTCGGGTAAAAAAAGAAAAAAACGTAAGGAATTTGGAAAATAAGAACAATCATATTTTTAATGTTTAAATAGCATAGTTTTTTTTTATAAATTTTATATTTTACTTTAAATATTAATACTAATATTGATGATATTAATTCTGTGTTCTACATCTTAATGAACTCCATCAACTCTTGTTTTGTTTTTTATCATCTGCATGTATAATTATAAATGGTCCGTTTCATCATTTAGTGTTATAAATGAGAATTCTAAAAACAAAATAGTACTTCCCCAATTTATTTACCTGGGGATAAGTGCCATAATTCAAGAATGTTATGTTTTAATCACACCATAATGATTAAGAAAAAATGTTTGAATTTTGAAATATGTCACTTAATAATAAATAGCTCCTAAACACTTAATTTCATTTCATTTATAATAATAAATTTACTAAATGTCGTATAGTTACATAATGTTTCAATCACTAAAATTATAACAGAAAAAAGATAATTGTTCAGAGAATCAAAAAACACGGTAGTTCCATTTCCATGTATCCGGAAAATTTTAAAATAGCAAACTGTCTAACACACTACAAGCCGAAGTCACATGGTTTTTTCCGTCGGAGTATCTGCTCTACAGACCAGAGTAGATTGCCCAAAGCAAGCTTCTTCTACCCTTTTCGGGTCTACATGAATTAGCCTGAAATGCTCCACTAAAGCTACCACTAGTGAAAATGGGGCGAGGAAAACTACTGTACAGAGGCTTCTTCTTGATGATGACATGGCTTCTATGTGCCATGAGTATGGAGCTCAATGACTCGCCTCCTTGCTCTTTCCCTGCAATCTACAACTTTGGCGACTCCAATTCCGACACCGGCGGCATATCAGCCGCCTTTGTGCCATCCGTGAGCCATACGGCGGAGGCTTCTTTCATAAGCCTGCCGGAAGGGACAGCGACGGCCGTCTCATTATAGATTTCATAGGCATCCCCTCATCTTCTTTGCATGTTTCGAAGTGAGTATAGCATTTTATTGTTTCTCTGTGTCTGCTAATTCTGTTTCCTATGATGCAGCTGAGCAACTGAACTTGCCATATCTGAGCGCTTATCTGAATTCTCTCGGAACCAATTATCGTCACGGCGCCAATTTTGCCACAGGAGGATCCACCATTAGAAGGCAGAACGAAACCATCTTTGAATATGGGATAAGCCCTTTTCTCGCTTGACATCCAGATTGTGCAGTTCGATCAGTTCAAGGCACGCACCACTCAACTCTACCAACAAGGTGAACCAGAATACAGAGCGATAATTCTGCTAATTTGAATACTATCTGTCAGAACTCAGAAGTCTATATCCCTGTCCTTCATTTCACATATATACTTGCTGTAAATAGTTGGCCTGTAAACCCCGCAGGATTCAGAAAATTTTTAGGGGTTACCTAGATGTCTACGAAGCATATAATTTTACAATATTAAATCCTGCAGTAAGTAAAAATACTATTGTCACGCGCCATACATTTCTAGCCAATGAATTATTGTTTCCTGAAATTCAGCCAAGACCTCAATGGAGAGAAGCAAGCTTCCGGTACCAGAAGAATTTTCTAAGGCTCTATACACATTTGACATTGGTCAAAACGACCTGTCGGTTGGCTTTAGGAAGCTGAGCACCGATCAACTTCGTGCGGCTATTCCAGATATTGTCAACCAGTTAGCCGCTGCTGTTCAAGTAAGTAGAAGTGATTCTGGTTTCTTGTTTAGAAAAAATCAGTATTTGAACCCTGCAAAAGATAGTGGTAGTTTACTGTTATTTGATTGAAATGGAAATGATCAATAAGCCCCTTTCAGAATTTATACCAACAAGGAGGGAGGGCATTCTGGATCCACAACACAGGTCCTATTGGGTGCTTGCCTGTGAACCTATTTTACAAGCATAATCTACCACCTGGCTATCTTGATCAGTATGGTTGCGTGAAGGACCAAAACGACATGGCTATAGAGTTCAACAAGCAGCTTAAAGACAGGGTGATCAAGCTCAGGACGGAGCTCCCAGAGGCTGCAGTTACGTATGTGGATGTCTATGCTGCAAAATATGGACTAATCAGCAACGCCAAGACTGAAGGTAGGTGCCTATCATGAAACATCCATGTTACCGTATGTTTTCTGAACAAACAGAACTTTATCGTCTGTTACATTTCCCAACTATTTTGACAGGATTTACGGATCCGTTGAAGATCTGTTGTGGATATCACGTAAACGACACCCATATCTGGTGTGGGACAAAAGGAAGTGCAAATGGAAAAGAAGTGTATGGTGCTTCTTGTGAAAATCCTTCAGTATCTGTTAGCTGGGATGGGGTTCATTACGCTGAGGCCGCTAACCATTGGGTTGCTAATCACATACTCAATGGCTCTTTGTCAGACCCACCAATTCTAATCACCCAAGCTTGTTACAGGCATTAATAACGGAATGTGTCAGAACTATAAGTCAACTTGGGTATTCTTATGGGATGTTATAATTACACATTGAAAAGATGACTGAATTCTAGTGATGCGATATCTTGTGATATTGGAGGTCCTTATATTAAGAAATGCTGCGCGCGATCCTTTACCCTCGTTCCCATCCTCTTTAGTCCCTTGGCTTAAAGATATTGAAAATGCAGCTTCCATGATGGGATCAACCAGACAGGCCATGACTTGATGCATTTCCAATTCCAAAACAAGTCATTGTTTCAAGTGTAAACATATACATGTAGGTCTGTAGAATAAAACCAGATTAAAAGACACCAAGGGTTGAGAAGCATTATATGAGAGCTTCAAGTAGGGTCTTTACATCAAGGCAGTGTAGCTATTCTACTTTCTTTGTTGAAGAGGGAAAAAGAAATATTTACAATATTTCAGCAAGTTTACAAAAGTAGACAATGTAAGCTAAAGGCAGTGCTTCGTACACTAAATATGTGGCTTGCTGGATTTGAAGTTTGGCAAACACCCCTTAAGCAAACTGAGAAATTAACAGACGGAATCCTATATAACTTCCATAAATTTATCTCGAATGCATGCTAAGAAACAAAAACATAGCACCCCCACCGCAAACTCAGAGTAAAGACAAGTGCATACACCACGACAAAAACTAGTACTAGCATAGCAGTCCAATTTTGACAGTTTCAATCACCACTCAGACAAGCTTTTATGTACAAGTTTGTGAAAATGTTTGAAAAACACGAGATCTTTGCGCTACCTGATAGCTTCAATGGTTGACATCAATGCATGATAATGAAATTGTCAAAGAAAATGAAATGGTTGCTTCAGGGTGTTACACTCAAAATATTTTATTTAACCGAAAAGGACCGTACAATTCTTCCAAGCCAAAAAATGAATCAAGAACCTGACGTTTATTGTATGAGTAAATTTCACTACCTAACTCAATCCCCCAAACTCTTCAAAACTGCAAAGAACAAAGCGTTATTTCCCAAAAAAAAAAAAAAAAAAGAAAAGGAAGAAAGAGCCAATGACTAAACTTTTTCTCGTATGGTCCATGTGAGAGTCACTGTCTATGTTTCATAAATCTCAACTACAGATCTAAAAGCGTAGGACAATATCTAAGAAAATGGTACTTTAAAGTTCACTTTACTCACTTAGCAAAAATTTACAAGAGAATCATTCGATTATGGACTGGATGATTCCAGCTCCCACAGTCTTTCCACCTTCTCTGATTGCAAACCTCATTCCTTTTTCACAGGCTACAGGAAAAATCAGCTCTACAACCATCTTTACACGGTCCCCAGGCATAACCATCTTAGAGTCTTCATCTTTATCATTCGTGATTTTAGAGACCTTCCCAGTAACATCAGTAGTCCTCATGTAGAATTGGGGGCGGTAACCAGCAAAAAATGGTGAATGCCTACCTCCCTCCTCCTTTCTCAGCACATACACAATAGCAACGAACTTTGTATGAGGCTTAATGGCGCCGGGTTTGGCAATAACCATCCCTCTTTGAACGTCTGTTTTCTGAATGCCCCTAAGCAAAAGCCCCACATTATCACCTGCAATGGCTTCATCAAGTGTTTTTTGGAACATTTCAACCCCAGTAACTGTTGTTGTACGTGTTTCTTTAACACCCACTATAACTACAGAGTCTCCAACCTTGACTGTACCCCTCTCAACACGCCCTGTTGCCACAGTACCACGACCAGTAATCGAAAACACATCTTCAATCGCCATAAGGAACGGTAAATCAGTTTGTCGCTGTGGAATTGGAATATAACTATCAACGGCATCCATCAGTTCATAAATCTTATCCACCCACTGATCCTCTCCTCTCTTGATTTTCGGGTTTGCCATCAATGCCTGCAAAGCCAACAATGCCGAACCTGAAACAACAGGCACATCATCGCCCGGGAATTCATACAGAGTCAGGAGCTCCCGAACTTCCAATTCCACCAATTGAAGAAGCTCTTTATCATCAACCTGATCTTGTTTGTTCAAGAAAACCACAATGTTTGGCACACCCACTTGTTTCGCCAACAGAATGTGCTCTTTGGTCTGAGGCATTGGCCCATCAGCACCTGAAACTACCAAGATCGCACCGTCCATTTGCGCCGCACCAGTGATCATGTTCTTAACATAGTCGGCATGGCCCGGGCAATCCACATGAGCATAGTGTCTGCTCTCAGTTTCATACTCAACCGTTGCGGTGTTGATCGTGATCCCTCGGGCTCTCTCTTCCGGTGCCGCATCGATTTCGTCGTACTTCTTGGGCGCACTACTCCCCATAGAGGCGAGGGCCATGGTAAGAGCAGCAGTGAGAGTAGTCTTCCCATGGTCAACATGACCGATCGTGCCAATATTAACGTGGGGCTTCTTCCTCTCAAATTTCCCCCTGGCTGCTCTGACAACAAAGGGCCCACGACGAGTGGAGTCGACGGAGACCGGAGAAGAAAAAACGGAGGAACTGAAATTAGGGTCGCCGGCGACGAAAGAGGAGGGCAGGACGGATGGGACTTTGAAAAAAAGGGAATTGGGTTTTGTGTGGGGACTGTAGAGGAAGAGAGGGGTGGAGAAAGAGAGTGAAGAAGTAAAGAATTGTGAAGGTTTGAGAAGGACCTCGGAAAGAGAAGATAAGGGAGACGCTCCGACGATGGAGGCCATGGATTAAGAGAGAGCAGAACTGCGAAGGGTGGCGGAGTAAACGGAGAGTGGCGAAGGAACTTGGATCATAACAGTTTTGTCACGTACGAGTTCAATTTGTTCTCAACAGTCAAGCCCAAATGGCGCTGTCGTATTGTCTCTCTTCCGTTTTTAAGGTTGGTAGAGTATTACTTGTCAAATATTAATTTGGCATCTAAATTTATTAATGATCTAATTCAAATTTTTTAAAGAATTATTAATTCGTTTTAAGTTATATGTTTTTACTTTTTATTATAATTTCATATGCTCCATTCTTTCTTTCTTTTTTTTTAAGAAAAATTGTTAGTGCTCCCATAATGTAATCCATCTGCTTAAAAATATAAAATATTTTTTAAAAAATTGTGTTAAAAATTATAAACATTTTTTATATTTTGAGATATAATTAATGTGATTGTTTTTAAAGTATCTATAATAAATAAATTATTTTATATTTACTTTAAGGTGAAATATTTTATTAAATAAAAATAAACATGAAAAGATGATATTGATTTTAAAAATAATTAACTACTTTATTGAAAATAAAATTTTATTAAAAATATCTTATATTTTTTAATTAAAGAAATATTTGGCAGAGAATATCCATAAAATATCATTAGATTTATTTTAGATATTTAAAATGATTTTGTTCAAATCATTTGAATAAGGATAATTAGGATTTAATTATATTTCCTTATTATTATCTTTCACTAGATTATTTTAGATTTTATTTATTTTTAATAAAATAAAACATCTAGATAAATCCAGACCACGTGTTATCTTTTAGAATTAAATTATGATTCTATTTATTATTATTATATTAATATTTTCACGGTTTATAATTATAAATAGCCTCCTATCTCCTTTCTCTTTTCCTCTCTTTCCAGTTAATGAATGAACTTTAATCATCCCCTGATTTTGATGAAAATGTTCAAAGAATCTTATAAAAAGAATCAATAGAGTATTATCTTCCAATTTATTATATTTAATTATTTATATATTACTTCTTCCATTATGACATATAAATCCTAATTTTTACCTTCCCTTTGCTCCTAGATATAAGTACTAAGACAATTTTATATTCCCCCACGTCCTAATTATAAATTAAAATAAACTAACTCCATGTTTCTTAAGAAACGGTAATTAACATTTTAAACTCATAAAACACTGCTAAAAAAGGTTTCATAACTTGTTTGCGTTTACAAAAAAAAATCACATAATTAAGTTAAATGAGTAACCATTAATTTCAACCAAAACCTTGATTTGGTGTCGCCTTTTTATCGAAATAAAGACGGGATGAGAAAAGAATCCTTCAGATGTGTTTCTTTTGGAGCGTCCTGATGCAAATCCCACTTTAGAATTACATTTGTAACTGCTGTCTATTTTTCGGCTAATACACAAAACAGTAATGTTAAGGGGAACTCTCTGTCTCTCTAACTTAAAAAAGACACAAGTAAACGTCCTGTTTATACTGTTCTTTTCTTTTCTTCTTCCTGATGGCTGTGGGACGTAGAGAAGTGTGGAAGAATCTGCTTGTAGAATTACACAGGCCATCAACGCCATTCCCGTGCAGGCTCGAAAAGAGAAAGTAGGAAAAGGGAGGATAAATAGAACTTTGTTATACAACGGGCTCATAGTAACTTAGGCCAGAGTCTACTTTCTTTATTCACAGCTCGATTCATTGGCGATGTCCATCTGGCAAAGTAACCACTTTATGGAACGGCACTGTCCTTTGAGGTAAGGATCCATCTTCCTCGTCATCATCAAATTCCAGTATATAACTGCTCAATCAAACTCAGAAAGTGAATACTGTGAGAAGCAAACTTTACAATCAACTGCTACAACTATAAAAGAGATCAAGGCACTGAGAACACAAAGGGCAATAATCTGCAATGTTGTCCTCGCCTTTATGCCCAGTGAACTTAACTAGAGAGGTCGTATGAAACATCACATATGTTTCATAGTTGGAAGAAGAAAGGAAGGAAAGGAATTCAAAGAAGACGAAAGGGAAGGAATCTTTTAGTGGTAATTGATCTTCCCCTTCTTTAGAGAGTACTTTTCTCCAAAATTGCTCAGATTAGAACTAAAAAATATTGAAGAGGGAAGACTTGGAACTAAGGGTGTTCAAAACCAATCCAAACCGAAAAGACTAATCCAAACCAACCCAAACCAAAAGAAACCGATCAAAACCGAACAACAATCAAACCTGCTTCGGTTTTTATAATATGAGAATCGATTGGTTTGGTTCAAGTTTGGTTTTGAATATAAGAAACCGAACCAAACCGAGCCAAACTTGATTAAAAAATATTACTTATTTATTTATAAAATATATAACCATTTATCCACAAGAGGCATTTTGTTTTGAATTTTTTATAGGAATAAATAAACATTTTTAAAAGATTTGAATGTAAATGCATAATATTAAATAATTATAGTAATGATACTATGACCATCATTTAATTATTTGCAACTTGAAAGCCTCAGTATTCAATTTATCTACAAGAAGCATTTTGTTTTGAATTTTATATAATGAGTTTTTTATTATTTATTAAAATATAGATATATAGATAAACATTTTCAAAAGACTTGAATGAAAATGCATAATATTAAATAATTTTAATCTTAAAAACTTATATCAATTTTTAAGATTAATTATCGTTATCACATTGAAATTTTATTATATTTTTATATCTCTATTTATGAAAAAAAGGAGCCAAAAAGAATTAGATTTAATTTTAATATATAACACCATTATAAAGATAGAAAAAAGGAAAAAAAATTAAATAAGTGCATTGAAGCCCGATCTAGACCTTAACCAAATCGAATCAAACTGAAAATTAAACCAAACCAAACCGAACTCCATAAAAACCGATCAGGTTCCAATTATGAGTAAACCGAATGGTTCGGTTAGGTTCGGTTTTTGGCGAAAACCAAACCAAGCCTATGAAAACCCTTACTTGGAACATTAGGGGAAACAAAAGAAAACTTTCTCCTCTTCCTCTCCTTATAAAAAACTCTCAAACAAAAAGAAATTTCAATGAAAACTTTCTTTCCTTTCGCTTTTATTATCCCCCATCTAAACATGCTTGGTGCTTCAAGTTTTTCCCCCTTTTCGCAATAAAATTTTGAATAACTCTTGTTAAGGAGAAAGGGGTAGCTCTTCTTCCCTTAATAATCTTATCTCCCCTAGCCCAATGAGATTTAAACCAGAGAATTCCGCCTCAGAAGGAAAAAACTACCCCAACCACCTGCAAATGGTGAAGTTTGATATGTAAATATAGAGGGTTTGACTTATAAATGAGGCTGAGAAAATTATTAATTTCCTCATTTGGAACCTAATTGTAATTTTCCCCTTGGCCCTTTCCCTGATCAACAAGGTCAAAGAAAAGAGAGATTTGAGTGAAATTACAACTTACTTCTAAATGACAAGAAAGCAAGGGTTTATTTATATTTCTAACAGAAAAATACCAGTTAGAAAAGATTTGTGGAGATGATGAAGAAAAATCATGCATCTAAGCTGTCTTGGTTCTTCGAGCAACAGATGTATAAAATGAATATTGGTCAAGGGACATTTCTCTAATGCGTATTTTATATGAAAGATAAATATGATTCCACAGGGTTTCCTAAGATATATAGATAATAATCAGAACTGAAAATGAAGTCCAAAGGAATATACTCACTCATCTGTCTTCCTCTGCAGATTTGTGAAATGATGGAGATTACCCCAGAACACGTACAATATCAACAGTTCGTTTGATGTCAAAGTCAAAGATGGAAAAGAAGAAGAAGAAGAAGATTAACAGGTTACAAAATATTTGAAGAGGAAACCCAACCAAGATATAATTCTAGCACAACAATCAAATGACAGATTTATCACCTTGCGATAGCCATTGACTACTGTAGCTTTATAAAGTGCAGTTGTCCCAGGATAGACTGCCAAAACTTGCTTTCCATGAGGAAAATCTGGAGCACCACTAGGATCATTCCTCTTGGGAAAAGGAATGATATTTGCCATAGGCAGCCTGTATTTTCTGAATGCATAAACAAGAGACAAATTATACTTGGTACAACCCATTCAATGATTCAAACGGAATAATCCTCCATGATAGACAAATTAGGTAAAAACATTGAAACGTCTGTTTGTGTATGGGTATCAAGCATACGTTTCCCAGGGAATAGAGTAATTTTCAGTCCCTGAATACAATGTATGCATAAGGGGCACCCAACCGGAAACCTTAAAGAGGAGCACAACCTACTCTCAATTTGTAAACTGAGATCAGAAATAGTTGTATTGGTTTCATTTTCAGCCTTCACTCATAGTGGGGTTACAATAATAGTTTACAATCTTCTATGTAAAAGTGAAGACACAATGTGAAAGAAATCCTTATTCAAGTTTAAGTAACATCACGGGCATGTACCATAGAAAGAATATTTCAGAAAATTCAATGTAAAAGAACATCCAAATAGGATACCTTTGGCCACCACCCTCTTCATCATCACCTGGTTCCTCATCTAGCACTTCAAATCTGTAAAATTGTATTTGCAAAAAACTGAATAAGAATCTAAAAGGACGAGTAAAAAAGATTGATATCCCAGCAGGAAATCTCCTTATAGATTCTTTCAAACAATAAATACGAACCAATAGAAGAGCAAAGTTAACTTGAATAAATTGAAGATCTGAGCTAATAAGATAGAGTTATAAGTTGGTCCTATTTCAAACTCATTCAATTAGGCAGCCTCAAGCAGATTCAATCGGGACCAAAGGGCTTATGATTGACCTAAGAACTGAAAGCACAGGCTTAACCCAACGGAAGTAATTTGGGGGAAGTAGGCAGAACAGAGATCCATTAAGTAGAATCATCTGCCCAGTTCTTAATAGTCACAATCATCCATATCAACCATAGGCCCCTAGATTCAGAAGTCAACATCAGGTAGCTGATGCCAAAAATTAATATCAGTCAAACATTATTCCACAGCCAGTAATAACGTGCATTTCGAAGTTATAAATCAGAAGCAAACCAATGTTGCTATTATGAAAGATGAAGTATGCTTCATATACACTTGTTAAGACGCTTGGTTGGTGATATATTGCAATAATAACTTATTCATTAACTAATAATTCAAGGCATCAATACAGAATGAGCTTTTGTAATATGTGCGCATCAATCACTTTGATTGACATCATAATAATGAACATGTAAAGATTTAACCAACCAGAGTGGTTGTCTAGTGAAATGATGGAAACAGTGTCGTCAAAATCATGATTCAACACGTAAAATCATAAGTTTCATGACAGTAGATTTTGATTTCTTGTTAACTTATACTTAAAATCAAAACTCCATAAACTCTTGGTAAAATTGAATGAAATCATAAACACGTAGAGAGATCGCATTTTTACTGGCGACTTTGTTAGTTTTGCCTCCAATTTTAAAATTCCTGACAAATTCAGTTGATGACACTGTTCAAAAGAAAAGGCTATTTGGTCAAGAAGCTCTTAAATTGGGTAATTTGACTTGTTACTGTATATCTTGGAAATTGGATGATATATTTATGAACTTCTTTGAGGAGAAGGTTTTATTGGGATTTTAATGTTTAATAATACATAATGCCATTTAGAATAAGAGGACAATTTTAATTTAATTTCAATATTATAACTAATTTAAAATTTCTTGACAAAATAAGTTGAAAAACATAACTTTATATGCATAAAAAAAAACTTAAGACAAGGTATCAAGTATTTTGGTTATTGATTTATTTAAAATATTTGCATTAGTGTAATTCATATAACGTATAAATTGTGTTATTTTTTCATCAATTGAGTTTGATGTATAAATTATCAAGCATAAATATTTTAATCATATACTTATATATTTTTATAATATTTATTAATAACAGCAAACTTTTACATGTTTAAAACTTGAATTTATGATTCAAGTTCACCAAACGAGTTTATCAACCCATGCAAGTTTGTGTAAACTTGTGAATTTGACAACCTTGGATGGAAGCTTACTCTTTTGTTTCCTTGTCGAAATGCATCACTTTTACAACAAACCATTCATCTTTATCAGCATCATGTGGCGTGACCCTAGCTGCCACCTGAGAACACATTAACATCACAAATGGAGTTAGAAAACAATCATGTAAGAAAATAAGTTAGATTCATTAAAAAATAGCAGAGCAATCAACCGGAAAATGGCTCGTTAATAACTAATATTGATTGAAATTTAAGGCTATACATACCTGTTCACCCTTAAGATTGGCACAATTCTCAAGTTGAGTTCGCATACTAGGAGATAGCCTTGAAATATCTGAGTCAGTCTTTAACCGTTTCTTTTTCTGCTCATTACCTTCTGCAACACAAATCTTATCAGCCAGAAATGGTATACAACCGTCATCTTATCAGCAATGATGAAAATGCAATTAATATTCATAACTAAATCAGCTCTGGCTAAAAATTACATCTGCTGTTCTTACATATTTGCCTTTATTTTTATGTTCATTCATGTAGCTTGCATATCAACAACTGCATAATGTGAAATAGCCATTACCACACATTTTTGGGACAGCGATGCATCAACATGGATTAGCAGGTTGACAAAAGGATGCAAAAGCACCCATGTAAAAGTTATAATTCTGCCCCCACCTCCCCACCCCCCAAAAAGAAAAAAAAAAAGAAAAAAAGAATTATCATTTTGAATAATCAGCAACTTCAATATGCTAACTCTGCAAGAATACCCAGCATTGGATTCCACTCTCCTTCCAGCATACAAGAGGAGAAGGATTAAATTTAAATAAGAAAGGATAAATTAAACATAAAGTTGCAAGTTTTGCTTAAATTCACACTCGACTACAATGCCTTGAACAAACTACTTGAAATGTGTGTGTCTGTCTATATATATATATATATAATCAACCCTTCCCTCCCCTATTTTTCACCTTCTTCATGAAGCTTGACTATACATGAATGACCAAAATGGCAGGAGAGATGCCAAATTGCCAACTATATTGATGAGTATCCAAAGCAGTGGACTTTACCTTTTCCTGGAAAAGAGAAAAGAGAAAAAGAAAAATCTCAAAAAACCAGAAATTGCAACCACCTCCAACAGAATAATGGAATTTTGACATGCAGTCGTCATATAGATAGTCAGGCATATTATCTTCCTATTCATGCATTTCCTTTCTCTTTTTGTCTTTTTCCTTTCTCTGTCAAGGTTGAGCATAATGCTTTAGATACTTGAACCTCTTATACAATTGTGGTCAGACATAACAAATCAATCTGACAATCTGGCTAATCTAATATAGATAAGAAAAAGACTGAAGGACTGGTTTGTAAAGCAAAAATTTTAATAAGAAAATAAATTGAATGATTACAAAGATGAGACAAACCTATTCTTCTTCGTGGTTGCCCTGGCGGTCCAGGTGGCAGCAGAGCTTCAAGTTGGCTGACAAGTGAGTTCGAAATGCTGCGACCAATTAACAATGTTGAGAACCATATAAGGCATAGAATGTCCATCTTGGGTAGAGATTAAGTGACCCATTCTATTGTTTAAAAGGAATGGTGAAAAACTTGATCATTTCCAGACAAAGTAGAGATGAGGGGGGAAAAAAATCTAAACTGATTCTAAGTTACAGGCTAAACATACCTTACTTCAGTTTCTGAAAGCTCTTTTGCACGAGTGTACAATAATTTAAGTCTCGCTAATGAGCTATCCCCAGGCTTCTCAACCACCTCAGGAGCTGCATTAGCTTGGGAAAAAACCATCAACAAACAGCAACAGTGGTATGTGTTCTACCACAGAGAGATAACACATGGGAAAATAGGAACTCATATCAGGTAGTTTTACTTCTGGCTGCCAGAAAGCTAAAAACTAGCGACAAACAAATCTCTCCGCTGTACACTAATTAATTCTTACTATTACTCCCTGAACAAAACAGACCAAAAAAAAAAAAATCCTCAAGATGAGGTCCTCTGCCCCAGATGTGGAGACATTCAGAGCAGCATGAAAAGTGTAGAGAACACAAAAAATGATAGCAAATTAAGTTCAAGATGGCTAAGGGTGTAAAGAAGTTTCTTTGAAAAGCAATGTGCGAGAGTAGCAAGGTTAGAGTTACACTATTACAAGTAGCACTTATTTCTTGCTTACTCAGTGAACAGTGGATTGTTATTTCCAGGGACAAACGAAGGCATGTAGATCATGCTGCTTCCACCATATGATATCCTTCTACATCTATAGATTGATGAGATAGCAAGTATTTTCTGAGAAATGACAGCATCACTGGGAAATAACGATAAGAGTAGTGAAAGTAGTCTAACAGCACGACGAGTATTAGATTCGTTTAATTTGAGCCATTCCAGTCTATGAACTCAAATGACCGACAATTACAAGATTCCAATATCAGACAAAGTAAGATTTCAGAGCTTGAATAGGCAAGTGGCAAGTAACTCTCAAATCATAACGTTTAGAACATTTCTTCTCTTCGATTCGCCAATATCACAGCAGGAATTGTTCATTTAACTTGGACAGTAATCCTAATTCAAAAACTGAAAGTTCAATGGGCAGTACAAACTTGCCCCAGCTTTCCAGTTTTTATCTAAGTGAACATCGCTCCCCCACCATAACTACCAAATCACTCTGAAATATGACAAAATTACTACGTAAATCTGTCTTTGAAACTAACCTAGCAAGAGTAGCTGAAATTTAAGCCAGTTCCAACTATAAACAGCTCAAAACAGTTTTTTTTTTTTTTAACAAAAAACAACAAACTAAGATCGCATTAATTTACTTGCAATGTGACAACAATTACATCGTTCAATAGCACACAAAAAACAACTTTAAACAACAACAAAAAAAGAAAGTCTAGAAAAAGATCAGGATGGAGCATAAGAAAAGGCAATGATAGAGAGACACACTTGTTTGAAGCTTCTTGTGCATCTTGTTGATCTCGATGAGCACATCCTCTTGCTCTTTCCTTAACTGATCCAGCTCTTTCGAATTGTCCAAGATGCCAGCAATCTCCGGTGACGACATCGTTGCCCCCTCGACAATCGAAGTTCGATTCTGCCTACAATTATTTTCCTCCTACGTCCAATTACTTCGAGAATGGAATTTGACCAAACAAAGAGAATAATGCAGCGATATTTTGATTGAGTCTGTGATTAACCCACAAAAACACGTGATATTACTAAGAAAGCAGGAAGATAAAAAGACGACCGTATTTGAGTAATCGGGAAAGTGATGAAGTGACGTCGTTTTTTCCTTTTTGGTGAGAAGTGGAGTTGTTAGTCCTCCGCTGGATACGGTAATTAATAAATGATCGCCTCTGAAAGATTAAAATATGTGAAGGAGTAATAATAATAACACGAAAAATTGCTAGAAATTATAAAAATTAAAATTTGTAGAGGAGTAATAAAAAAAATAAAAACGAAGGTGCACAGAGTGAAAAAAGATTTGAAAAAAATGCATGGATTCTAAAAAAAAATGTACAGCTCTTTATAAAGTTTTAAATAGTTATTTTATGTTAAACACTAAGATAATTGTGAGTATTAAAAAATGGATAATTATGAGTACCAACGTTATGGGCTGAGTTACAAAATAAATAAATACGTGACCAAAATTGAAAGACATTGTTTTTGTTGAGGGGGGGAAACGCTTTTTTCTCTGGGTGTTTTTTTTTTTTTTTTTAACTTTCATTTGGGTTCAGTATAATTACGATAGCATTTGGATTTATATATTTGAATTTGAATCAAGATAGCGTTTGGATTGATATATTTAAAATGTTTTCCAAATGCCACACTATAGATTGTAAGAAGTAAATTGTAACTGTTCTTGACCCTACATCCACCATGCAAATTCTTCATCCTGATAAATTTATCCCCAATATCAAAGAACAAGAACGAAGTTCCCATGATATTAGAGCTCACTTGGTTGATGAGAATAAAATTAATTACAGAAATAAAGATAAAAAATGATTAAAATATGGAGTGGAGATACACCAATTATATGTGTAAATGTGAAAGGTAATTTAGTTTGTGGGATTTAAAACTATAATTTATAAGATTTTGTGAAGGATGTAGTAATTCTTACATTTGTATAGCAATATTAGATTTATCAAACTTACAGTGAATAAGAATAATTTAATTTATTTTTATTTTTATTTTTTAAATTCATTGCATTATCATCCTTTATGGTGATGGTCACATTGGTTTTTCCATTGTAGCTATGAAAAATAAGGAGTGAACTAATTGCCTATTCTAAACAATGTGGTTTTGATTCAAAAGGTTAAACACTTAAATAATATTATTTTAGTTATATTTATAAGTCATTTTTAATATATTTTACTGGAACTAAAAAAAATTTTAAAATGCTTTAACTTTGTTTAAAAATTTAATAAATCATTAAATTTATTCTTATTAAATATATACATTTTCATAATATATTTCTCTTTCCAACATTCAATGGAAAGTAAAAGAAAAAATTTATAATAAAAATTTAATGATACGACTTATAAATAGGATAAAAAAAAATTTCTTTGATTTATAAATAGAATCGAAGGGAATATATTTCATTAAGTAGATTTCTTTCTTTCTATAGAGGGACATGCTTCCTCAAATCTCTTAGAGCCTATTTGTTATGATGGAATTAATGATTATGGAAATCAAATTTTAACTTGTTTGGTATTCAAATCTTAATTTCATATGGAATTAAATTCCACAAAAAATGCTTAAATTGATTTCCATCACTTGGTCGAGGAAGTTTTGAAAAAATCCATAAAAGTAAGATTTATGACATTTTAAACCTTCTTTCTTTATCTCATCATTCGACGAAACTCTATCACCAATGATAGCTTCTTTGATCTCAACCTTAATCACTATCATTGGACGCAAGATTGAAGACGATAGCGATAATGAAGTTGAACAGCAATGATGACGAGGTGATGCTAAGGCGTGCAAACAACGAATCCACAAAGAAGTTGACAATGACAAATATTGTTTGAGGAGTGTGGATTTAGTTTTTTCTAATGAAAGGCTTCAATAATCTCAACTCATCCTAATGACAACGATATTCTCTTTACTAAGCCTATAACTATTTTAACTCGCAATTGATGGTGATGACCTATTCTAATCACTTCTATAATAGCCTGAGAAATTTAAGAGAAAAAAATTCTATGATAAGATATTTTAAGAGTATTTTTATTAATTTTGGAGTAGATTCAACATAAAGTACTTGGTGGTTCAGTAGTAGTAATCTTCTCGCTCAACACCTTCTGGTTTAAGGTCCGAATTCTTTCCATGTTTATGTGAGATATTTGATTTTTCTTGCTCAGCCTCTCAAATTTTTTGTTTTTTCCCATTAAAAGAAAAAAAAAACAATAACAATAATGATAAAATAAATAACACAAAACTAGATTATTTTCCTCACTCCTCATTTTCTATATTCTTGCTCAAAGTATCCCGACCAAGAGAGGAAGAAAACGTGTGCCAGGGGTCCAAAAGCTTCAGGTTCATTTTCTCTCTCCCTTTGTCATCCTTCTCCTTTCCTCTTTTAATTTTCCAGTGTGCGTGTGCTTGGGCTACTAATCATTTACTATTGTGATGGGTTTTGTCAAACTCACTGCTTCTTCCTTCTCTATTTTTGGCATCCATTCCACTCTTCTCTCTTCAATTACTACTTCAATGCCATTCTTCTTTTCGCATTCGTGATGCCTTTGTCCTAGTCACTGAGCTTGTTCTTCCTTCTCCTTCCTCTAGCATAATTTACTATGGGGTCATTAGAAGAAGAGAAAACTTGATTAAATTTGTAAGGAAGGAGATTAAGAATTTGGTGGCATATCAAGTAAGTAAATAACGTTTCCAATGAATAAAAGTAGCAGTATTTCACTTACCTCATTATCTTTTATTTTGAATATATTTTCTTATTTTACTTTTATGATTAGGTTGATTTAAAATGAAAATAATTTACTTATCATATGAATTGATTTGTATAAATTTTCTTATGGTATTTTATTTTCCTAAAAGTATTATACATGCATGGACTAGATAAATCACTTTGAAAATATCATTTACACCTTACAAATGGAAGAACTACTTGAGCTATGAGGACCTTTAAACTCCATGCATGCCAAAAAAAATTTATATAGGATTGAAGTGTAAGCCAAGTTCCACCCCTTTCTAATGACTTTAACATGGCCAAAAGGTGTTGTTTTAAGTTCCTAACCCTTGGTTATTATTAATGGTAAAGGTTGGTGCCATTAATGATAGGTTTAGATTTAACTCTAATACTAAATAATTAAGTTTAAACTAATGCTATGGGCTAGCAGAGTTAGTTGAGCTTAATAAGGGTTAAATGAATTAATGAAAATAGTAATGAGGTTGATTTTGGTTGGTGACTCTTATTAAGGGAATTAATTGTATTTAGTCATGATTAGTTCCTAATGGCAATTACTGTGCTTGATTTTAGAGTTTGGCTACTCTCAAATGCTTGAGTTTAATGGAGGCTCTTGAGGTCATCAAAGTATACCCTTGGTTTGGTAAAACTAAGAGTTGAGGTAACTGATAATTGATTTTTCCTTTATATTTAAAATTGTAAATTTAATATGAGATTAATCTTTGTTTGATATCAAATGAAAATTTATACTTAGCTATATAGAGAGCTAAATGTATGAGTTGTGAGATTTAAGGCTAGGACTAAAGTTTGTAAGAACTACCCATTGATATTATGTCCTAAGCAATTAAAAAGGCATGTCAATGCATAAACACATATTTATGCCTTGGAAGAAAGTGTTGACTAAAAGAAAAAGTTGCTATATAAATCATTAGGGCTAATGCCCTTTCCAGTGCATTGAATTTAGTATGAATATTCCGTGGTGTCATAATGTGTATTACCATATTGTGAATGTATGATTCAAATTTTATTGAGCATGATAAGGTGAACACAATTTTGTTAAGCATGGATAAGACTACACACACACGCACACGCGTGTGTGAGATTGTCATGAAAAGATAATTTATTTTGTATAATCATAGCTTCTTGTGCTTGAATCGTGTATGTATGAATCTATGATAGTTAGGACTTGCAAGTGCATGATTTATTGAATTAATTAAATGTGGAGATGAGTATGTCTATACATATAAATGTTGAACTTACATGATTATCGATGGTTAAGAGTTTACTCAAGAGATGGTAAGGGGGTACTATTGGAAATCCACATAGTGAAGCCTCTACTAAGTTTGCTCACAGTAGATGGCATATTCTTTACTAAAAGCACTTAGTATTATCAATCTCTTTTGAGAATTGGCATGAGTCAGGCATAATGCTCAATATCACTAAGTCCAATGGGAATGGTATGGGTTGGGCAACTATTGACACCTCTACAATTTAAAGAAGGGAGAATTCATAGTTTGAGAATGAGTATAAAAACCTAGGCCAGGTAACCTATCATGATTAAAGAACAGGGCTAATCCAATTATATGGGGTGGTTCTACATTTATAATTGCACATGGCTTCGGTCAAACAATATAAGGAGAGTAATAAACCCACCTGAGTGGGGTGGGATAAGGACTATTACACTTCTTACTCTTGAACCATAAATTCCTCTATTTGAAACTCATGAGGTGTCACTACATCCAGTGTAGGGCATTACCTAGTCTAAGGTAAAGATCAAGAACAAAAACACCTAAGCTTTGAAGTACTGGTGAGTACCACATGAATTTTCTTACCAACCTACTCTCTCGGGTGAATTGTCACCCATATGTGATTATGCAATATGCTCATAATACTCAATGACATAACATATATGCAAACTTAATTAACTTAGCTTATAATCAAGCACATCCCATCTGGCCATGCATAAATAACCACTACTCAAACTTCATGGCAACATTATAAACTTATGCTCAATGACATATCATCATCATATACTTTAACATATTGATCATGCACAAGATCACCCATTAAGTTAGGTATCACTCAATTCTTAACATTGCACCATAAACATTTAATCACTTAATCACACATCCACATTTCTCGTTCAGAAATTTCATATTTCACATGCCATAATCAATACTTATTAAGATATTAACCATCATAATACTATATTCGCATTGTACTTAATAACCAAATTAAAATTTGTTCAATCATGTCATATAATCGATGCCATCATCATCTTGACATGACAAAATCATACATTTCTAGTCAAATCAATTGTT